AAATATATCAAATTCTATCACCCCTCTCCCCTTAATGAAGCCTAGACCCATATTTTTATTGAAAAATTTACTTGTACTCATCCTTTAGCTATTGATCCTCATCTTCTTTTCAGCCATGTTACTAAATTTATATCTCTAAAAATCCTATTCTAAAATATATATCAAAACCTATCTTTTAAAAAAATTATCATTGTGTATTTATTTCCTCATGTACTCTTTGACACTCAAGTCTTTAAAAAAAAAACTGCTGACATATATAAATCTCTTTTCATACATACGTTGTTGAGAAATCAATGACCTATCATAAAAGTTTTCATACTTACGTTTATGAACAACCTCTTAATTCTAATCACTATGGTTTTCACCCCACGTCTTTGAAGAACTTATGAAATCTAATCATTATAATTTTTCGCACAACCATTGTTGAAAACTGATATGTATATTTCTAAAGCATGTTTTTCCTTTTGTATCATTAGAATAATATTGTATGATTCTTCTTAAATCTTATTCATGATTCAAAATAAAAATCCGATCTCAAATTGAGCTCGATTGCGGCATAAATTTTCTAATGACGAAAAGCCGATTCTCTCTATGAAGATTTTTTGGTTAATCTACAACCTAATATACTAATTCACATTAATCCTTGAGGCTGTTTTATCTCTCGCAGTCCTTAAAATAAAAGTTAAAAACGTAAATCTTCAATAAGAATTTAATCAACTATTTCCTAACAATAAAGTTATATTCTCATCTTATTCACCGAATTTTTTAATTATTATATCTCAGCAACCTATTAGTTAAATATTAACTTTCGCAATTTATGTTTCTATTTCTTTGTCAAAGTTATTTCTAGTGATCACTTGATAATAATTATAAAATCTAAAATATCATAGTCTTTATTAGTTTCAAAATTCCATTGGTTTTTAGTTTACCAGTAACTTCTAAATATAAAATTCCTAATTATCACCTTTAAATAACTAAACACAATTATCTCTCTATGAATGTTACCTTTGTCTTTAATTTTAGATTTTATATTCCTACATAAACATAAACTTAACAACATAATTTTTCCTTTTCAACTTTATTTACATATTTTTCTTACGTTCTTCTGGAATTTTTTTTTTTGTATTAGAATACAGTTTGACACATCTCCTTGTTGTCCCACCGGTCACAGACTGAAGGTTGTAAAGGGCCGGTCTCCTCCGCTCTCCAACACCATTGTCACAACGACAAAGTTGTCACATTGTGCATCAAAACCTAAATATAAAAATAGAAAACAAATATATATATAAAAAGGAAATTAATAAAAATTAGGAATCATAAAATCAACTTTAATTCTTTATTCAAAATTATAATAGTAAAAATCATAAAAAAATAAAATAAAATATAATTAAAATATAATTAATAATTTAAAAAAAACAAAGATTATTTATATCGTAAAAATTTGCCTTTTTATACTCTTTTATAACTATTCAAATATAATCTTTTTATCACGCGTTATAACAATAAATCCACAAAAATTCTTTATGCAAATTACATAAAGTACAACAAAATCCAAAAGAAATCTTTATGCAAATTCTAACATTCACAACAACCTCCCCCCATTCTCTGATCCCCAAAAAATGTATGATATCTTAAACAATAAATTGAAAGAAAGAATGTAAAAGTTGATATTTTTTTTATAAACTATTCATCATAATTTATACATTTTTGGAAAAAAGCATTTATATTAAAAAAAGTGAACCGAAAATATTTTTTAAGAAATGGAATATAAGCCAAAGATAAGTTTTAAGACAAACGTGAAATGTATTATAATTATTATTAATAGATCCATAAAATTACTAAATAATATAATATATCAAATATAATTTTTTATAAAGTGAGTAATTTTAATTTATTTATCTTAGTAAAAGTAAAATATAATTAAAATACTATTGATAAAATTAAATCATAAATTAAATAAACAAAATTAAAGCACAATACAAACAGTGGAATATTATATGTCGTAGATTTACAGTATATCTAATTTTATCAATTATCATATGACAATCAAGTAATTTTTACCAATTTAACGAATTATATATTTCACAGAAAACTATAAATAGTTGATAAGGACATCAAAAAATATCTTTTAAAAACATTGTATGATGAATAATATGAATATTAATTTTTAATATCATTATTTATTTAAAACGTTAAATAATTGAATGCAAATTGTTGCTATATTTATTAACAAGGGCATTAATTAGAAAATTTGTTAAAATATTAACTGTAATATATTTTCTAACTGTCAAATATGTCTGTAAAAGTGGAATTTTACCTGGTATTTTGTAACTAATTCTATATAATTGATGAATATCAACTATATGTCTACTTACTTTTTATAAATAAATTTCTTATACTTGTTTGGAATAAATTATTACCTTGCTTTTATATTAATGTATACGCCATCAAGCAGTAACAGCATTTATGGAGTTAGAAGAGCCGATTATTTGCTATTACTGAAATATCACAATGGCCTGAAAGAAATATTTCCTCAGAAGCAAGAAATTTATTGGATTCAATGCTTATTCCAAATTTTTTTTCTCATTATAATGTATTATTTAATTATACAACTATTTTATGTAATATTTTTCAAAAAACATTGACTTGATTAAGAAGAAGAGAATAGCGGAGAGAGCTCAAGAAAATTAGGGCTAAAGTTGATGAAGAATTTCATATTTCATATGTTATTGTTGAGTCAAAAGCAGAGCTATACGTGTTTAATATTTGTCTACCTCAACTTGCAGCAAGGCAAGCTCATCGTTAAAACATTAATATAGGATCAGTAGAAGAGTATTATAAAACAAAACCCAAATAAATGAATGGTTTTTAATTCATGATGCAGCACTTACCAATCTGCAGATGTTACTTCCACAAAAGCCTTACCAACTTTTTTCAGATGGTGATAGAAAAAAAAATATTTCTTAGATTTTTATCATGAAGATGTTAAAGTATTTTATGATGCCTTATTAGCTGAATAACTATGTTTATAAAATTAACTCTGGTTGACATAGTCCCAAAAAATGCTATGGATGCTTTGCATTTCAAACACATTTAAATTATAATCACAATGTTTTAAAAGGGTTTATATATTGGCAACTCTTCCAATTAGTAAACTAATGAGAGAACATTCTCTTTTTTAAGAAGAATAACAGAGCCCTCCGGAGATATCATTTACAAGGCACGACCCAGATTTTTTTTGATAAAATTTTTAGGCCCGACCCGGATTTTTTTAAAATAAATTATATTTCTTTTTGATTATTATAGATAATAATAACGATTTAAATATAGGCTGTTTTAAAATATGCAACCCGGTCCGGAAATTTTTTTTAAAAATTTTCAGGCCCCGCCCGGGTATATTTAAAAAATTAAAATACGGTCCGGCCCGGGGCCGGGGCCGGGCCTACAGGTCTCTGAAAAACATACTAAGAAGTACAACTTCTGAAAGTAGATTGAAAGGTTTGGATTTAGAATATTCATAGGCATTTGACGATAAGCAAGTATGAGATAATTGATAAATTAGCTCTATCCCAACGAATATTGGATTTTACATGTAAATATTTAACATACAAAATACAATTATTCTTAAGAAACTTTTTGTGTATTAATTGATATTTTCAACATTTAAATTTTTTATGTATATAAATTTTAAAGGCTCAAAAAATTCAATTCACATTTATTTTATAGTTTTCTATATGACGGTTTATACATAAATTTTTTTATAATTCACATTAATTTAAAATTGTATATTAAAAATAGTTATTAGTTATAATAAATTTATGCTTGATATTTTTATAAAACAATAATATTTCTTAAAAAAAATTATCCCCCCCCCCCCCCACACCAAATTCCTGCGTATGCGCCTGTAAATGCTTAATATTCTTCCATTTAGAAAATATTTTTTAAATATAATACTGCAATAGCATCATCAGCTCCATTTGAAAGATTGTTTATTTTGGCTCAATATTAGGTCAATGACATAATGTCATTGTTTTAGGTACGCCGAAACGGCAAAGGTATAAAGATAAATTATTTGAAAAATTAGATTATATAATAAAATAATGAATCTATTTTAAATACTCTTTTGCAATTTAATATTTCAACAGTCACCCTTCCCTATCTATGCTAAGAATGGGCTAATACTAATATTAAAATGCCAGAGTATTATAATTAACTCATCATTAAATATTTTAATAATTATTGTAGATATTCAATCTTATTATATGCGTATGTCATGTTCTTCTTCTTCACAAATATAATAAAATTATTCTTATTTAACGGGTAATAATTTTAAAGTTTCTTGTATTTAAGGTACTCTAATTTAGAAAAAGATTCAAGTATCTTTTATCTTTTTGATATTTTGAAAAAGATACTAGTATCTGTATCTAAGATTCATTTTTTTATAAAGAATCTGTTGTAACTAGAATCTTTTTCCGGAGGACCTGTACAACTCCAATTCTTTATAATAGAGGATTATCTACTATATGTCTACTAATTTTTTATAAAGAAATTTCTTATACTTATTTGGACGTTGGAAATATTTTTAGGAAGAGGCACGGTAACTAAATTTATATATGAATAATATAGTTGATTAGTGATTTTGAACTCGGCTAATTACAATATTAAATTTGTTAATTTTCAATTATAAATGATCATAATTTTTTGCTTCAGGGAGCTTTCTAAATTTTTTAAAGGGCTCGAACCCCTACGCTCCCTAATGACGCTACTGAATAAACTTCTCCTATTTATGTTAACGTTTAATTACACAACACTGACTCAAACCTTGCTCATTTTTCCAGATAAAGCAAATTAACCATATTTCTTCTGTTATTTGACAAAAAATGCAAAAATCATCTGTTATATAAGTAATGTATAAATTCTTAGATGATTTTTCACGTGACAAGATTTGAAATTGACTTCCATCATTTGTCCGTCACCTAAATCACTGTCATTGAAATGTGAGAGATTTTATATTAAGTATATTCTCCGATTTTTATTTATTTATGCCAATAATTAGTAAAATAGTTATTTAACTAGTTTTTTATATTTAAGCATAGCAATACCATCAAAAGTCTTTGCTGATAGTGAAAATTTAAGATGTATTTATCTTAAATACGATAAATTAAAGACTGACAACAAAGGAAGATGCGAAGTTGATATATATAATATGCCACATTACTTTAATAATGTAAAATATTTTTTTATTCATTATAATTGCTTATAATTAGGATTGTATATACAAATTTTTAGATCCAAAAATGAAGATTAAAATACAAAATAAAGTATTATAGCAATAATTTTTATATTATTAAAGTATTCACAAAGCTAGATGAAAAATTAATATCAGTGCAATTTAAAAATAAAAATTCCATGTTGAGAGCACTAAAAACTTTATTCAAATCTAGTTATTCATCTCAGAATCCATTAATCATATTTGAAAACAAGAATAAAGCTATAGTTGGATTTAAAAGTAATTTTAATTATTTCTAAATCTTAGGATAACATGATAATTTATAAAATTATCCTAATATAATATGTTATAATGAAGGCCTTTTCTTATAATTAATGAGTCATTTCATGTCAAATGGGAAAAAATTGAAATTTTTGCACTGACCCTTTTGATTTGATAAAAATTTGAAGGCACATATCAGATGTTTTATTTATATCAAAAACAAAATTTTAGCTTACTGACAATTTTAATTATCTGAGATAATCTTGAGGAAAGGTACATAAATCAACTTTCTTTACCCTATACCAATGTTATATAATTAGTTTTTAATTAAAAACTAATTTGAATATTGAATCTAATATTAATCACTTAGTCAATAATTGATAGGGTTATGCCAATATTAAATATTGGATAGATCGGTGCAGAGAAAAAATGGTTTGGCTATTTTTTAAAAAATATAACCAATATTGATTTTATACATACTTTTATTCTATATCACATTATTTATTTTTGAACTAATAGAATTAAAATGTTAATGTTTTTTTACATTTTTTAATGATAGAAGAAGTAGTATATTAATAAACTAATATAAAAGTAAATTATTTAACATTTTTGTACATTATAATTTGTCTATTCTTTGTTCCATTTTTTTTATTAGAAAAAATTATAGTAAATAAGAATCATGCAAATCTAAATTTCATTAATCAACAAAGATATCAATATTTGGTAACTCACTGAAACTCGGGGAAATTTTTAATATTATTTTTATATTTATTTTTTTAAAATTTATTTTTGAAAAAACAAATACACAAAATATTTTTTATTGTTTGGTCTGGTAGGAAGAAGTCATATTATAATTTTTATCAATTTAGCAATAACTTGTCTAATTTGGTATTGATACAATTTTAATAAAATTATAATAACTGAAAACGATATTATATATATGAGTATCAATTAAATTATATTAATATGATTTCAATCTAATGGTGCCCAAATTAAACAAGTGCTTACTTTTAATTTATAAATCTAAAAATAACTATTTAATTTTTTGAAATATCAACCTTTTTCACAAAAAATTTTTTATCCAAATAAATTGATTAATTATTTAGTATTTGATTTAATAGTCCTTACTTAGCTTCATAGCACACATCTTGTTTTTATTGTAGAATTAAAGAATTATAATAATTATCACAAAAAAATTCTATTTAAATATACTCCGTTTTATTGTAATTAAAGAATATCAGAAAAAATTATTTCCACCATTATCCAAACGATCTTATATTAATTATTTTTTATAAAAAAAATATTTTTTAAATATTTAAAATAAAAAATAAATAAAAAAAATTAATTTCTCCAAGTTTCAGTGAGTTGCTCAATATTTTATCTATGATCGATTCTCTTAATTATTGGAATTAATCTCAAAATCAAAGCTTTCTAAATTTGGTAAACCTTACATGTAAGTATTTTAGCTGGTGATATAGGTATCCCTCATAGGAGAAGTTTATTAATACATAAACTTGAGACTCTTATCTTTATATAAAATATATATAGTATTATAATAATAAATTATTTTTTATATTATTTTAAATACTCCTTTGGAAAAAATGATATAAATGATTTATTTGGGTCTATTATACCTAGACCTGTGTGCAGTACGCTTATCGGCAGCGGCGTTTCTTTTTGTAAAATGATTAGCTGGTGGTGGTAACTATTTAGTTGTAATTTGAATTTTTTAATTAAAATTATAAATTCATTGGTAACACTTTTGAAATAAAATTTATGCTTTATTATGTTTATAACTATAATTTAACGATTTTATTAAGTTATAATTATCATGTATAAATATTATTTTATTTTGATTTATAGGACATAATGATGATCTTTTAGAGTTCAGAGTGAGTCCGGCTATGGAAAATACATGCTCGCTGGGTGTGCTCGTAGCTGGAACACAAAGGATCTTTCTAGTTAATATTGAAAATTTAGGAAGATCCAATGCTCTTATCTTCCAAAAATCTAAGACATTTTTTATCTCTAAATTATAAGGCGAATAATTATTAACACCCTTTTTCTAGACTAATTAAATAGTCTTGTTGTTACAGATTATTGTTATGAATAGATGAATGCTTATTAGCCAACTTAAGATAATCGAATTTTGAAGTAACTTCCGTCGTTTCACATACAGGTTTCATACAAGGCAACAAAGAGGTAGAGTGTTTACATAAAAATGTCACTGGATTAATACTTTTTTCTTTTATATATTCATTTACTATGTTTATAGATTGAAAACGAGGATCCAAAAATGCTCCTAATACTTAAGTAAAAAAAATAAAACAAAGAGAAATAATATTTAAAAACACTAATTTATGTATTTTAAAATTTTACCTGAATATCGGTTATTGGAAATCTATGATCAAATTTAGTAAGCATATTTTGTTTAAAGGATGCTATGGGAGGACTATCATATTCTTCTATGATTAAATTATTTATCATTTCACTACGAAATAATAAGGATAAATTTATAGTAAATCCTTTTTGGGCAGATAAAAATTCTATAGTTTTTTTGAAGGTTTTAAGAAAATTTTAAAGTTCATGCACCAGGTCTCAATTGGAATTAAATGATTTAAGATCCGGTTTCTCCATTCTATTTAATAGAATATTCATAGAATTGCCACTCACACTTTCCAGCATTATTAAAATACCATGCCAACGTGTAGAAACATTACAGCAAATAATATTTATTAATTTTAAAAAAATAAAATCTCATTTTTTAATAATTTAATAAATATTTAATATTATTTATCTTCTAATTACAACTCATAAATAATATATTAAGCAGTGGCGTATCCAGGATTTTCTTATATGGGGGGGGGGAGATTTTTGGGGGGCTTCATCCCCAAACCCCCTTGTCTGGCCTTCGGCCAGCTTTCCCCCCGGCCTTTGGCCGGGTCTTATGTTTTAGCTATTCCATTAAATTATTCATAATTTAATAATATTTCTATTTGTAACTATTATTTACTAATTCGTGCTAATGGATATTACAAGCCTATTTTTATTATTTTTAGTTAGGTATATTATATTTATAATAAAGTTTTTTAAATGTAAAGTTGAAATAAAGTTTAATGTCATTTTTTTATATAAAATTTGCTTTAAAAACTAGCCTCAGCTTAAATTCTCATACAATATAAGTATAATATAATTTTTTTATTGAAAATACTAATAGTAGTGTGTATATATTAATGTTGTTAAACGACTCGTTTTGAGCCGATTTTTAAAAACGGCTAACTCAATATTTTCGCCAGAAAAATATTAACTAAGCCTCGAAATTTCGATACTATATGTCTAGACCTTTGCTCCTTCTATGAGCAAATTTTTCAGGCTTGCATAATATTTTTCTGGGTAAATAACTGAGTTAGCCGTTTTTAAAAATCGCCTCAAAACGAGGCGTTTAGCAACACTATAAAATATTGACTAGAAAATAATTTAAAAAACAAGTTTTTTTAAACTTCTTATCAAATACAATATTATACAATTTTTTTTATTAAATACTATAATTATAATGTGATTTTTAATTTTCGTCGGAATGTTGTTAATTCATCAAGAATTTTGTTTGTCGTTGGAACCAAATCTCTGTGGATATTTAACAGAGCTAACCCATTTAGCCGAGATTCGGAAGTAGTACTTCATAAATATGTTTTCAACCTTCTTAAGTTGGAAAGTCCTTTCATTCGTACATGTTATAATAGGCAAACATGGTAGAATATAAAACAACTTCAAAATATTAAGAATGAGCCAAGGTTTCTTTACACAGATTGAGCGCATCAATAGCATGCTCAGGTAAAATAGCTAAACATAGTAAATATTTATACCACAATTCGAATTCACTGATTAAATTTATTTCAATATCAATATCATAGGAATAAAATTTTGCTAAATATTTAATTTTACCAATAGTGGCATTAGAAAACGAAGATGGATCTTTGGGTATTAAAACTTGAAGATTGCTAAAGATTTGTTTTTTATCTAAAAACCGTACTTTTATTTGCGATAAAAAAGTATCTAAGAATGGGATGAAAATGGTTATTTTATAATATTCTTCACTTGAGCTAATATTTATTTTACATCTCAATAATTGCCCAGGTGCTAGACGAGGTTTAATTAGTGTTATATCATAAAATTTAGCCTTCGATTCAACGTCAATATAAATATTATGAAAATATTCATCTACATTCATTCTTATTGTATCTACCTGTTCATATATATTTTCCGTCAAATCAATAACCTGAACCAAATCTAAATTTGGTTTTAGTAAATTTCCACAAAATAGTGAGCTATAGGAAAATAATTTATTGATGCAACTAGCAGCAATGATAAACTCTGATTGATCAATTGAATTCAATAATGATATCGCTTCTGACGACACATTACTTTTTTTCATGCTCAGCCTTATTTAACTTTTGTATTTCTATTTCTTCTGTTCTACAAAATCGAAGTAAAAATAGAATATTTAAAAAATTATAGATATTTATTAATAATTAATATTAAAAATACTTATTAATTCTAACTTACTAATAATTTTGAATTTAATAAAATAATTATATATAATAATAAAATAAATTACCATTTGATTTTAATCTCTTTGACTTAAATTTTTCCATTTTATTAATATTTTTGAATAATGTTAATGTACTCACAAGGAAAGGAAATTTTAATAAAATTTATTTATAAAAAATAAGTTTTATGTTGGAAAATTGATATTCAAATATTTGTAAAATTTTGATTGGGAGGGAGGGGGTGGAGAATAAAAAAGTAAATATTAATTTAAATAATAAAAAATATTTATCACGCCGTGACGTCGCCTAACATCAGTGGCGGTGTGGTCAAGAATTACCCACGGCTCACAGGTCTAAATATGCCCAAATTTCAAATTAATATATTTACATTTGTTATAAGATAGATCTAACTTTAAACCTTATAAAATATTTATTTTAATTTATGCTTAGATAAAAAGTGTTGAGGATAAGTATAACTTATGCCAAAATTTTCTACAAAAAGGAAAAAAATTATTGGATATTTAAACTATGGCATTTTATAAAATTATTATTTATGCATATAAATATAATAGAAATTTTAAATAAAATTCCTATCTTAATTAAGGCTTACAGAAATTCCAATTTGCCCTAGTGGGGTTTATTAGACCCCATAAGTCATGGTATGTTTATATCTTAAAATTACTCAATTAAAATGAATGAAATTTCGAATATATAATTTAAGATATATTTAATGATGCTACTGAAGATTCTAGAACATAATTAAACGTTTTTATATAATCAATTCTAGCATTCCTGGGCATGTTAATTAAATGTAGAAATTCGATTTTTAGTTTAGTTTATCTTATTCCTTATTACATTACTAATTAATTCTTAGCTGCACCATGATCACTTATTATGCAACTATGTCCCATATTTTATAACCGTGATGGTGGCCACCATACCACTATGTTAGTGCAGCTTTCCATTTATAAAGTGAAATATGAATTTCTTCACTGCAGTATGAGTGCAGCTTTCATTTTAATTTAATTTGAAAAGGGAATGGATTCTAAGTATCACAGTATGAGTGTTTAACTTTAATTTAATTTGAAAAAGTGAACGGAATTCTCCTCATCGCAGTATAAATGTGGCTTTCTTTCATTCTAATTTATTTTACGAGATGTTAAGGGGCCACAAAGGTGGAGATTCATGTATATCCTTCATCCTAGAAACTGAACTTTGAAAATATTTTTCCTTATCTTTCAGGATCTATATCTTCTTCCTCGTCATCCTGAAATAGAGATATGATATATAAGTATTTGATTTGTAATTGATATTTATCATACCCCATAAGCTTGTTTTGCTTTATACCATACATCAGCTCAAAGGGTGTAAATTTTGATGATTTTTATAGAGATATATTATATGCAAATATTGCAGGTAAGGCATCTGTCCAAATTAATTGATCATCCTGAATATACTTTAGAAGTGCATTTTGGATGGTCTTATTCACCTTTTCAACCATGCCATTTGCCTTAGAGTGATAAGCACTTGTCCCTCTATACCCTAGGATTTTATGATAATTAATGCTTATTTTGTTCATAAACTCACGTCCTTGATCATTAATTTGAATCTAAAATATAATTTTAATATATTATTATCAAATTTATCATACATTTGCCCTGCCATGTGTACATAGTAGCGAGTAGAGGAAAAGTGATACTGATTTATATTTTATCTTTTAAAGGCATGGTTACAATATATTTGCTGAAGTAATCAACTGCTACAGCAATATATTTATAGTCATCCTGACTTTTAGACAAAGTACATAAATCAACTCCTATTTGTGTCCATACCTTTTGTAAAATAAAAGATTATTGTTACATTACATACTCGATTAAAAAGGGAGTTAATCTTCTTAATGTGGTTTAAAATAGAAATTAAGGTTAAGTGAAACTCCCATCTATCTGTTATATGTGTAAATGTCTTAATTCACCAATATAATTTATGTAATATAAAGTTTATGAATGTTAATTCAGGGTGGGGTTGTCACTATGATATAATAAAGTAAGGTTGCTTGCCACTATATGATTGCAGTTGAAAAAATATAATAATATAGGATAAGGTAAAACTTAAATTAACTAAAAAGGAAATTATAATATATATAAATTGTTACCTGAGATTTGGCTTGAATTTATTTTATTTGTAACCTTTTTCAGATTATAAGTTTTCTACATTTTTATTTTAGATTATATATTTTAAATTTTGTTATATTAACCATTAGTTGTATTTAATAATATAGAAACTAAAAATGCACTATATCTTGTAAAAAGATTCAAAAGATGATTAATTTGTTGAAAAAAATATAATATTCTGCTAAGACAGCAGGTATAATAAGCTGCCATAATATTTAAATGGTTCAATATCTGTAACCAACATAGCTAATAAAAACAAGTGCCACATACATATACGCTATTAGTGACAGACCATTAATAAGATTATAAATGAAAAATAATCCATAAACAAAAGTTAGATACAATTAAAATGACCAAAACTATAAAATATTTAACAAATTAATGATTTGTATCTAATAAACTTTACTACCTTTTCTGGAACATGAATTGAATGCAACTCATTGCTAGTTTTATCAAATCTTGTATTATTACGCTGGCAAATGTCACAAAATTTTACAAAATTAACTACTTCAATTTTCATGTTTGGTCAACAGAAGCTAAAAATATAATACATCATATAAAAAATTGATTTATTATGCAAAAATATTTTACCTATCAGCCAATTTGCTATGAGTCTTGGTGCTACCAAAATGAGCAGCAAATGATTTTGCCACATTAGTATCATATCCACTATAACTAGTTTAATTTTTCTGTTACAGTCTAAAATTACTTCACCATTATGAGAATGGTGAAACAATTTGCCCTTGTGAATTATTTATCTGGAGGCTTGTACATACAGATTGTGTTAGGCTATTATTGAAAAAAAGCGCTATACACTCTGGGTTTATCTAAATTGAAAGTACATTTAAAACGTTACACCGGTATATCTCTAATACATTATATATATATTTTAAATAAATATAATGATCGATATTATTATTTTAAAACCAGAATGGTGTGATGATTACAAGAATTCTGAAGTTAAAGATTCCTGGCGATTAAATCAGTGCATTAATCAATATATGTACAAATATGAACAACAATCACAAAAGGTTTTAGTATAATTATGTGAATCTTTTGATTTCATTACGTAATATAGGCGCGTAGCCAGGTAATTTCTACAGGGGGATAATTCTTTTTTGGAGTATTAAAAATTTATTTGAACCAATGATATTTGAAAATACGATAATTTCGAACACAAATAAAAAAATATTGGAAAATCAAAATATTAAGAACGAATAATGGTTAAAAAATATTATAACAATATAAACGGGTATATTAATTAGAGGTCTGCATTGAGGGTTTTTAGCCCATCCGATTGGTGGGCAGGCGAGCGTGTTAAAAATTTTTAAAGAACAGGTGGGCGGGTTAAGAAAAATATTTAAATTATGGGTGGGCGGGCGCGTTAAAAAATTTACAGCTTTTATTGTTATTTAAAATAATAGTAAATATTAAAAAAAAAATGCTCCCTGAAATTTCGGCATTTTTAAAACCAAAGTATCTATAACTGAGGATGTTGCTGTCGGAAGAAATTAATTAGGTAAAAAATATATCAAAAACATGTTGGATTTGATTTGTATGAAGAATATAACATCAATGTGGATGAAAATCTGATTTTTATCCGTTTCCACAAAAGCAAAGAGAATTCAATTAAAGATTATAAATGCAATGTTTGAAATAGCTAGCATCCACGTCAAAATTAAACAACAATGGGAAGATATGATGACATAACAAAATGTTTAAATCTTAAAATAACGAGTTTTTATGTAATTTGGAGTTTAAGCTTATGATTTATAAACAATTAATTTAAATTACTTTTTATAAATGTATTATTAATGGTTTCCTTTTTTATTTAAATATCTCACTTGAGTGTAGGATATACTTCAAACGGATATCCTACTTTGATTGAAACGACAAGAAAGAGATTTATCAAAGCTATAAAGATTAGCTAAAAAAAATATTGGCAATTCCAGTAACCAGTGCTTCTTCTGTACGAGGAATTAGCATTGCTGGAAATTTTTTAAAATAAATAAACATTAATTATATATTATTACATAAATATCTTTTAATATCAAAGAAATTCCTTATCCGTAATTTAAATTGAATATTGCTTAATTTAGCATCCTAAATTATAAAACTTTTTTGTAGGGATGTATCGTTGAAGCTAAATCATTTTTTAAATTGCTTAAGCTTATTTAAATTATTATGGGTGGCGCGTGGGTTAGAATTTTTTTATAAATAACGAGAGGCGGGTAAAAAATTATAGACTAATGGGCGGACGAGTGGGTAAAGAATTTTAGATAAAAGGGGGCGGCGGGTTAGAATTTTTTTAAGAATATTGTACCGGGGGCTTGAGGACTAAAAACCTGTCTATTGCAGACCTTTAATGTAAATCACAATAAAATATTAAATTAAACATTTTGTAATTATTTAAAAAGTGAATCAAAATATCAAATTAAAATTTAATCATTGCGCCAATTTTTTTGTTGTGCTTTTGATATGGGTTATATTATCTATAATGAAGAAACGGTCCTTTCATTTGTGATTGAAAGGTATCATTGCCAAAATATACATTAATCCATATATATAATCTCTTTTCAAGAAGTGTTCGTTTTCCTATCATCTTAACGTTAATCTTGTTTTATCTATAAACTTTCCTATCATCTAATGTTATGAGACTATATATCCCTAATGTTAAATTTTTAGGCTATCCTCCCGGCCGAAGAATTCGAGTTTGCAATTGGATCAAGCCGAGTTCAAATTCGGATTTAGGGTGAAATTTGGCCCCAAAAGAGAATTTTTGCATCAACCAGATTCGAATTCGCATTTCCTCGCTCCGGGGGTAAAAGTCTTTCCTCTGCAGTCCCATGCTCTGGTCGATATTATCTATTGGCTTTTCTAAGTTCATATTGACGATTCTCATAACTTTAACCTAATCTATTTTTGAAAAATATTAAATAAAATTGTCGTATATAAATAATTTATTAATACATTTCAATGAAAAAATCGGTAGTCATATTCTAATTTGTTTGATGATTCTGATATTTCTCTAAATGCATACAAAATAGGCTCTTCTAGATTCAAAAAATGCTGTAACAGCTTTATTCGTAGGCTCCATCTTGTCGTAAAAGCCTTTTGCAGTTTATTTATCCTGTAGTATTCTCCGAAATAATTATATTCAACAAATTCTGTCCATATGGATATCTGAACATTTCATAATTTTCTAATAATAATTATTAATAGAGAGAACTTAAATGGATTTTTTTGGTTGTTTAATTATCATATATTCATCAGTGTTTAAGATTAAAATAATATAAGAAAATAAACTTTAAATTTTTATTTCATGAGATAAAATACTAATAAAAGAAAATAATTTTAACTTTTTGCTAATATTTAGAATAGAATATAACCTTTTTGAAATAGAATATTTTGCAAATCACAATACATGAGGCCCTTTTATATTTTTCTAAAACCAGTCGGCTACGCGCCTGAGTCCTTATATATTTTTTCAAAAAAAATTGCTACGAGGAGGGGGTGATTTCCCCCCTCCCCCCCCCCGCTGCCTACGCGCCTGATTTAATAAAATGGTATTAATAAGAGGAAATAAAGAACTAAAAAGATTTATTATCAAAAAGTCTTTTATAATATATGTTAATATTTAAAGGAAATATCAGAAGCAGAGCTTAAAAGAGTTAATGAACAAAATACGGAAGAAGGTTGGATAACTGTTACCTCCAAGAGCAAAAATGCTAAGAAATTTAAATCAATTAGTAGAAAGAAAGATTTCTACCTCAAAAAATTGAAAACCAAAAAGGACAAAGTAATCAATCATACATTTTAGAATTATGAAAATATACATATATAATGATAATTTTAAAAATATGAAAAAGATTTTTTAAAAAATTAAGTAAAGGGGAGAAAATAGGAACAGATAAAGTAGGATTAATGATGTAGGGGTGGGAACCAATAGTAATCCAAAAAAACAATCAGATGCAAAATAAAATAAGGCAAAAACGGGTTAAAAAGGTAAAATAGAAATACGCTTCTGAAAAGAACCAAAAGCAAAAAAAATAATATAAACGCACACTTAAAAACATCATTTTTCTAATTCGTAATATCTTATGAATTTAAGTTAATATCAATAAAAAATTAATTAATAATCACGATTAAGGGAATTAATAAATCTTTATTTTTTAAAATTTATAATAAAAATATTGTCTTTACAATTTATGATAAAAATAAAGAAGGGTAACAAGTATAATTTGTAACGCTAATCTTTTTTTAAATAAATTTACATACTAATAAAAATAAATATTTTAACTTCTAAGAAATTTACATGTCTAACGAAACAAAAAATTTCAAATTTTAATTTATTATAAAGAAAACCTTCACCCTATTAAATCTTTAAACCAAAAATTATAATCACGATGTATAGCACACCTTCCATTAGTATGGAGTTCTTGGCTGGATTGTCCCTCTGTTATCCTTTTTTGAATAGCTGGCAATGAGTTATTGCTAATGACTATAGCTGGCTCTGTCTAATAACGCATGAGGTGATTACCTTCACAGGCCTAACAGCCAATCTTTATCAGTTTTCTTTTCTGATCTCTGTCTTCTCTTACTCCTCTGCTTTAGATTGGCTGATATTGACGGGCGTATCATGGTCATCCCTCTATACCGTAACGCTTCTTCCCTAGCAGCTTGACCCAATTTCTCGATTCAGTGAAGCCGTCTGCTTCAATTTCTATGTTTTATATCTTGTTCCCCATTCTAAAGAAGGAAGCCTTAAAAATAGAATTATCATGCATATATACCCATTTTTATTATTTTTCCTTATTTTCATTCTCTTATCTGTTAAATTTAGTGTCCTTTTCTTTATTCATTATATTTATTATTTTTGCTTTCTGGTTAAAAAACAACTGAAATATATTTACATTAATATATTTGGTTAATGATGCTTACTACCAAGTGAATGTATGGAAATATTCTAAATACCTACCTAATTTGCTAAATACCGACCAAAATTTATTAAAATGTAATAAGATCCTTATTATTTAATATATTAATACGGAATCACGTGGTCGAGTCCGGCCTCCTATATATTATCCCCCCAAGGATGGAACCACCAAGTTAGAATAAGAAAAAAAACATGATCATTCCCGGGATTCGAACCCGGGAGCATGGGATAAGTAAACCAAGCTCTTGCCTACTAGGCCATAGAGGCTTTCCAAAAATCACGATTTTTCAAATATATATTATAAATATATTTGGTAGTGCCTATCCAAATGAAAAATGAACAAAATTCAAATTTGATAGATGGTACCAAGGTACCAAGCATCATTAACCAATATATTTCTCTTTTAATTTTTATTTTCGCACTTCAACTCTTGGCCTTATCTGTTTAATATGTCTCATCTGGGTTCCTGACTGCCCTTCAATTACTACCTCGACTTTCTTTTTCTCAATATTATTATTGCTACACTCTTCATAATATTGGGCCATCAAACAACAGTACCCAAACTAAACTTCCGATTTTAAATTTCTCTCAACTTATGGGCTCTCTGCTTTAATCTTTCTTTTGTGGAATTCAATTCTGTTCTTGACTGTCTTTTCTAAAAAACATCTGCTGGAGAATTTCCTTTGACCGTCTTTATATTGAAGATAAATTTTTGGAGAAAGTCCTTCTCTAGCCCCCGACATATATATATATATGATAAAAATAATACAATTATTTCATCAATAAATGAAGTCGTTTGTCAAACGGCTCGTTTTGAGCCGAATTTTTAAAACGGCTAACTCAATATTCCATCCAGAATACTATCACGCAAGCTAGAAGATTTTGTTTGCAGAAGGAACAAAGGTTTTGGACATCTATTAGAGAAATCTCGAGGCTTAGGCAATATTTTTCTGGCTAAAATATTGAGTTAGCCATTTTTAAAAATCGCCTCAAAACGAGCCGTTTAACAACACTAGTCGTTTACCTCAACAATGTTTAATTTTTGAATAATTCAAAAAATCAATTATATTATTTTAAAATTTTGATAGATAAATATGTTTATACCAATGTAATAATAAAGAAAAATAAATTATAAAAGTTTTATATAGGGCTGCGCCTATATTAAATATCGGATCGGCACCAATATTTAGCATTTTAAAAAAATATTGGATCGGGTCAATAAAAACCCGATCCGATCTTTTTACTTTTTTTCTTATTTTATGTTATATATGTAAATAGTTTATTTTACATTATTTTAATATTTCAAAGATTTTTTATTTATTTTTATAAAAATTGAAAGATCTAAATGTTTTTTTTAAATTGTAGTCTTAATTGTAGAAATAAATTAAATGCATAATTCAATTTTTTGCAAGAAAATAGGGATTTTTTAATTACATTTGGTTCAATAAAAAATCAATATAAATGAATTTTTCTGGGTTCGAAAACTATATCATTTAGCACGCAAAATAAATTAATCACTATAAATTTTAATATAATCTTCAAAAATTTTCCAGAAGTAATGAACTTATCCCCCCAATACCTTCGTAACGCTTCTTCCATAGCAGCATTGACCCAATTTCTCGATTCAGTCGAGCCGTCGGCTTCTCTAATTTCGATCTTTTATATCCTGTTCCCCATTCTAAAGTTGAAAGCCATCAAAAATAGAATTAACATGCATATATACCCATCCTTATCATTTTTTCTTATTTTCATTCTTCGGTAAGCCTTATTCTATCGAAATAGGATGAGTTGGTAAGTCATTCTTCCTAACTTGTTTCATGTATTTATCTTTAGAAATATAGGTAGTAGGTTTGTTCTCTTCAGCATGAGAATACATAATATTTTCGTATATTTTTTCACATCTTTATCAGGATTATCTCTAAATAATTATATTAATAAATATTTCATAATATTTTAATATCTTATATAGAATTCTCAAATTAAGACCAATTCCGACTTAACTCATGCTTAAAAAATGTTTTGGGCACGGCTGATTTTTAAAAAATTATTTCTGAAACGAAAAAATATATGGTACAATATATGTATCACCAAAATTTTATAAATAAATGTATGGTATTCATACATAAGGGTAATATATGACACCCCTTATTTATGGTTTTTTACCTGGAAAATATTTGAAGATTATATAAAAAATTTTACAATGATTAATTTATATTGATATAGTTTTCGAACCCAGAAAAACTCATTGATTTTGAATCTGATGCAAGAAGGCTTTAGGACTTGTATATCCTGGTATACATGTCAAAGGTTGTCTGTTCCATTTTGCACAAGCTCAATATCGTAGAATAAATAAATTTGGCCTGTCGAAAATTTATAATAATCCATCATATAATATTAATTTGCAATACCTTTTCTACGTGAAAAAGATGTTCATATGGTCTAGCTACAACATACATTAATGTTTTAAGCCTTAAAAATTCGAATTTTCTACATTCTTCTAATTTTATTAAAAATTCATGGCTTAAACATCGCTCGCATCCTTACAGAATGCCAAATGTTTTGGATATTATTGGTCCTAGGACCAATAATCATATAGAAGGATTCCAAAGGCGCATGAGGATATTAGAAAAATGTCAATATCCTAATATATATATATAATTTAATTGAAATCTAAAGAAAACGACTGAGTGAATATGATATGATAAAATTACAAATAGTTAATGGAAGAAAAATTAAAAGACAAAATAATAAATATTTTAAATGATACGTTTACGAAACAATGGAGATGGACCTAATAGCTTATGTTGATAAAATAGGTTCACTTGTTAGGCTATTTCCAAACGGAGCATTTTTTCAAAGTTATTTTTGATGCATGTTTTTCAGTGAATTTTTTTTATTTCCAAACAAAAAGATAATATTGTGTGGAATTAATTTTTTGGTTGCTGCCTCACTCGGGGGACTTATTATTTTTTTTTTAGTTTATTTAAATATTTTTTTATTTAAATATAATAAGCGATCGCACAAATCTAATTTAATATTTTTCCGTTCTAACAATCTTAATGAAAATGTGTATATGATCATTATTCGGGCAATCAGAGCAGAAACTTTATAGACCCAAATGATATATCGACCATACTCAACGTATTGAGCGTTTATGGAGGGATCTTAAGGCGAGCATCCCAGAACTGGAAGAAAATATTCTCATTTTATATGTGTGAATATTATTTTTGTAATATTAAAAATATGTCAAATTTAAGTAAATTTTTAAATGATATATTTATATAGTACTATTTTTGTTTTTCCTTAAAATTATATATATCTATATTATGTTGTTTATATATTATGTTTTTTTAAATAAATTGCTTAATTATCTAGTATTCGATTTAATAGTCCTAACTTAGTAGCATCCAATAAAGTACATGCCTTTTTAAAATTTATAAATATTATACTCTATTTTTAATGTAAAATTAAAGAATTGTGAAAATTTTCACCGAATCCCTTCAAAAATATAATCCAAAAATTTGTCATATTAATATATAAAAAAATAACATATAAAAATAATAAGCCCCAACCCCCGGAGGCAGCAACCATTTTTACAATATTTTAAAAAACAATCTGGATCCCTATTTCAGACGCCATTTAATCGTTATTAAAATCAAACCAGTTTGTTTTCTATTTACTATTAAATGGCGTCTGAAATAGGTATCCGGATTGTTTTTTTAAAATGATTCTATAAATTATAATCCTTTGCTTGAAAATAAAAATAAAAATGCTGATAAAATTACCCCAAAACTTCTTTCTAAAAACGTTCTGTCTGGAAATAGCATTAGTCGTCAACTTTTAGCTGAGTATGAGTCTGACGCTGAATTATCTGCCGCTATAAGTCAAAATAATCCAGAAATTAAAAATTCCGATGATATAGGTAAAATTAATCCAGATGTATGGAATTCCTTCAATACTTATTTAGATCTTTAAATTTAAATAGTAGGTTGAATTCTTTCGACATTATTTTTATATTTTTAATTTTCATACCAACATTTATTTGTGGATTAACTATCTCAATTACAATTTTAAAGGATTCCGGATCATCAGGTTATAACCAATAACAATGATAATATGGATCTTTATTAAACCTCCTTTTAATGGCATTAAGCTTTAGTAATTTTTTAGTATTTATTTATTAATTAGTTTTTTATTTCAAGTTGTTTTTTACTGGCCTAAGAAAGTAGATATACTCTCCAACTGGAGATTAACCTCTCCCTATTGTTGGGCAAGTCTGGACAAGTAATGAATATTTATACTAAGTAACCACTAAATATCGAAATGGGTATCAAATACGAATTGAAAAATCTTTTGACTGATTCATTTATGATTAATGGGTTGAACAATGTCTGGGGGAGGAGAGGTGTCCCCAAGACCTAGACTAACTCACTTAAAGTGTATTCAAAATATTGTAAAAGATTTTTCAAATTTAAAGCTCGCGCCGATGGCAAATGATTTAAAATTGAGAGATTTCCAATTCCCATGAATAATTTGAGAAAGGAGATATTGAAGGGCATTTTGATGCTGGGAAAACGAAATCATTGGCGAGAGATTGTGGTGGCCTGGTTTAAACGCTGAAATAGATCAGGAGGTGAAAAGTTGTGATACATGTAATAAATATGCTGATAATCCTCATAATATACAAAACCCTTGGGAAACAACATATTCGGAAAGATGTGAGATTTTATATCGATGATCTACTGATTATTGGGGACGACGATGAAGCTTATTTGAATTAGATAAAAATGGTGTTTGATAAGATATCAAAATATGGGCTTACACCAAACTTTACAAAAATTATATTTAAAAAAAAACTAGGTATACATCCGAATGCAGATAAGATTAAAGCTATTTCTAACATGCCGGAACCGAAGAATTGGCAACTTTTTTGGGGATGTCAAGCTATTATCGGAAATTTTTATGTAATTTTGCGGACATAACTAATCCCTTATACATAGTTAATAAAGACAAATGGTTATGGGATAGTACACAATACTTCAAGAAATCTTCGATGACCTAAAAAAAACTATCCAGGATCGTACAATAATTCTTCAAGATTTGATAATAGAGCTAGTTATAATAACAATAACTATAATAATTATAGGTTTAATAATTATTATAATTACAGATATAACAGACATTATAACGATTCAACATTTATTCAAAGACATAACGATAATCATAATATTGGAAATCAAGGAAGAAATCAAGTATGCAATTGTAAATATCATAACAATGATAATAATCAATCACGATACACAAATAAAGAACATTATGTACAATATCATATTAAATTTAGAAAACTTCATGGTGGCAGCTGCCCCAAGAACCGTAGTTTTTTTTTAAAATATACTTTTTGTAAAGTTTGGTATAAGCCCATTTGATATCTTATCAAACACCATTTTTATGTTATTCAAATGAGCTTCATCGTCGTCCCCAGTAATCAGTAGTTCATCGATATAAAATATCACATCTTTCATGTCTCCGAATATGTTGTCCATAGTTTGTTGGAATATTGCTGACGAAGTCTTTAACCCAAACGGAAATCTCGCAAACCTGTAATAGCCCTTGTGTGTTGATATTGTGAGAAAATCTCTAGATTCCTTGTGTATAGGTACTTGAAGAAATGCGCTTTTAAAATCAATCTTGATAAATTTCTTACCTTTAGATAATTTTGCAATTAAATCATTGATGCGTGGTATTGGGTACTTAAAATCTTCTAAAGCACGGTTAATAGTATTTTTGAAGTCAGCACAGAGCCGAAGTGAGCCATCGCTCTTAAAAACGGGAGTGAGAGGATTAGCCCATCTAACATCTTCAACAGGTTCAATGATTTTGTCGTTTATCCACTTTTGAAGTTCTTTTGTTATCAAATCAATTCTAGAATATGGTATACGCCTTGGCGGTATGATTTTCGGTGTGGCATCTTGTTTTAAACGTAATTTGACATAGCTGCGAATCATTGGCTTTTTGTTAAGTTTAAAATTGCATTGCTTAATTAATTCTTATATAGTATTATCATAATCATCCTCAACCAGATTCACAAATTTATCTAGTATATTTCCAAAAACTGTTATCTATCCAGGTCCTTCCTAAAAGTGCAATCTTATCACTCTGGACCACATAAGCAGTTAAGATTTATTTATTATTTTACTAATAATTTGTTTTCAATGTCAGCCATCTGTCTGCTGAATCAACAAAGTTAAAATAATTTTATCTATTTTATTATGTGAGAATGGTATTGTACACATATCCAATTTTCATCTTGTATTAATTATCAAACTGCAAATTTTATGGTACAAAAATATTAAAATTATTTTTTTATAATTCTAAATAATATATATCTATATGTACATCATATTTCAAATGTATATAAATTTATATATTTTTAAAAAAATCAATTATTACAACTTTTTAATTTTTTTCTAAAACTAAATATTATATATCGATATCGACATATACATCATTAAATTGCAAATTTTGTGGAGATTCTAAATATATATAAATTTCTATATTTTCTTAAAAATTTTACATAAATATTATATACCGAATATGTAACATTAAACCGCAAATTTAATGTTAATTCCGAATATATATAAATCTATATACTTTAAAAAAAATTTTACAAATATTATTCTTAATTAATTTTAATAAATTTTTTTATAATAAATATATTATATCAATTATATCATTAAATTACAAATTTAATAAGGATTCTTAATATGTAAATATATATATTTATTTATTATATAATATAAGATGCCCAATTATCTAATTACAATCATTGCTTTGGAAGCTTTTATTATTATTTATTACATTTTCGTAATTTTGGCCAAATATTTTCTATATTTTTTAACATCTTCGTGATTTTAGGCCAATACGTTCAATATCAATTCTAGAGGGCAACACATAGTATATATTTATTTAGCGTTTACAGATTATACTTGTTACCATTTTTTATTTTAAATTAAAGATTTAATATATTCTAATCGTGATTATTGATTAATTTTTGTTGATACTAACCTAAACTCATTACTAAGATACCCTATGAAGATACCACAATTAGAAAAGTTGAAAGAAACTTTTTTATTTTAATTACAATATATTTAATATTTTAACTATTTATTAAAGAAAAATCCACAGTTTTACAATTTCCAGATCAAACAATCAAAATTGAATCGTAAGATTTATTACCAATTTAATCCTTTTTTTTAAAATATAAAATCTTATAACATTTACAAAAATGCTTGTTTTTAAACTAAATTCCATATAATATAAAGGATACTATATTACTTTAATACAATTTTAATCAAGCTTGGCCTATACATATACAGTCAACCCTGTATAATTTCGGCACCTGATAATTTGGGAAATTCCCTAATTTGACCAAAATTTTGAGTCCTAATCAAATTCCTATTAATTATTATTATTAGAAAACGCCTTGATAAATTGGGCAACTATTTACTTTTAAAAGTGGGTATTTATTATTTTTTAATGCATTCATTCATTTATAATATACAATTTTATCATCTTTTTAAAACTATGTCATAAATAACAAAATTAATAAAGAAAACAAATATAATGAGTAAGAAGAATTCAAAGGGAATGTGCTAAAAGATTTAATATTTCTAAAAGAACAGTTCACAATATTCATAAATCTAAAGAAGGCATTATCAAATGTCATACAAATAATGCCAAATAGACAAAAAAGATAACTTATCTTATACATACATAATTTTACTCATATTTGAAAATGGTTGACCATAATCTCAATTTTTCCTAAACTAAGTATATAACAGGTGGTAAAATGTTTTTAAAAAAGTGAAAAGTCTTGATGAATTAGGCAAAAATTTTGGTCAAACGGTGCCCAAATTGGATAGTTTTGACTATAGTTAGCCTAGTCGTCCGCCAACATACTCGGCCCGCTAAAAGATCGCCGATTGAACCGAACAAGCTGGCCAACCATTTTTAATAAAGTTGTAGCGTGGCAAGAAAATTTTTAAAATTATATAATATAATCCATATCGCGAAATTGTTTTTATAAATTTTATAAAAAATGACTTTATATTATTCTACCCCCCATTGTTAGTTTCTATGCTACATTTTATATCAGTGATAGAATGCCATTTTTTTATTCCTCAACATTTCTAGCTGTTTTTTTAAAGTTGCCATATTATTCCTGGGAGCGAAGAAGGCATTTAAAAATAATAGGAATACACATTTTTATCTATTTACACAATTTTATAAATTTTGTTCGTTTAACAGATTTGATTGAATTGAAACAAAAATTTACAGAAGATAAGGCGCGGATAGCTGAAATGAAGGCCAAAAGGAAATTTAGGCCGTTATAAAGATGAAAAAATATTTGTTTTTTATGAATTTTTTTTGATTTATAATATATAAAAATTGTTTATTCCTTTTCGAAAAAAACTTTATAAATTTGGAAAATTCAGTTGGAAATTCCTTAAGTCTCTCTTGATTCTAAGTAAAGTCTTTAATTGTTAAATAGGAAAAAATAACACGAATGGTTGGATGGGCATAACTCGCCCATATTTTAAAATTGTCATATATCAACCCTATATTGAGCTTTGATAAGACATTTACTAAGTTAACTTAAAATTAATTATAATATACATTAGATTTAGTAATAAAAATCTTATGATAATTTTTGTAAAGAGTGTCGAAAATAAACCAAAATTGCTTAAATTTTCATATTTCTATTATAAAATCTACTTGAAATATGCAATTTAACATTTAATTATAGTATAAACCCTTGGGTCGTTAACTTTTTTAGAAGGGGTTTATTTTTCGAGAATTAACAGTAAATGGTTATATTTAAAATTACCAAATAAATGAGTTACTATCTAAAATTTAAAAAATATTATATCTTAAATTATTTCAGGGAGTCTTCAATTTTTATGCATCTTGAGCCCCTCTGCGGATCCTCCTAACTACATTACTAATATTAACTTGTTTTCAAATTATATTTAAAAAAATTAATAAGAGTTGATATGTGCATCCTTGTCTAAAAAAAATGCCTATATCCTAAAAATTATTCAATAAAAATGCACGAAAATTTACAGATACCTAATTTGGCATAAAATGGGAGGCTACTGAAAAGAAACAGGTCAACATATACAGTAGTGACAATTTAAAAACCTTCGGGATCTTGCTATGCCTCAGTATACCACATAAGGGTTATAAGCAGGAACAGAAACGGAACGTTCCGGAAACAGAACTTGGAGAAAATTATCATAATGATAAATCAGAGGCCCGGAAAGTGATTGACTTAAAAATTGAAAGGGGGGTTAAAAATGTAAAAAGATAAAAAAATCCGGATTATTTTAAAAAAATGGTTTTCAATTGTTATGCTTTTTTCGACAAGCAAATTTATGTAATACCCAACTTGATTAATACTTAAAGATGTAATAATTGTCTAAAGATTATTGAATAAGATGAGAGAAATAAAATTAGATTTATAGGAACGCGTTCCGAAACGTGAGCGTTAATATTTTAGGATTTCTAAAAAATAATTTAAAGAAAATTAAGGGACAAAAATAATTTTTTTTAATGTACATTGACTAAATCCAAAAATTGTAAAATTGAATTTAAATTATCAAATTAATTTTAAAGTTTAGCGCCCTTAATTTATTAACTGACAGTAAATGATAAAAATTATGGTGGAAAAAATAATTTTATCAAAACCTAAAATCTTCTAACCTCTAATAGTCGCTTACTCAGGTTCTGTGGGTATTTTAATGGACAAATTGGATAAGGTAACCACTTAAACGATAAAATTACAAATATAACCAATGCTTATGGTATTTTAACTGGCTAGACTTCAAAATACCGAAGAATGTAGGAATCAGAATCAATACTTTACATTAAGGAACTATGCCCTAAAAATTTAATCGTCCAATTTATTTCTCTCAAGATAAAATATATATTAGTATAGAATAGAAATCATCACTAAGCCGTCAATTTTTGGTAATAGAGAACAAAACCCCATCGAATCGGAAATGGGGGAAAAAAATCAAAATTAACAACTGGCCCTGTCAGGAAAATCAAATAGAATCAATTTCATTTTACTGATCTTCATCCACCTGTTAAAACATTTTAATTTGTTTGATTTTATTGATTCTTCATCCATTTAGCTATAGTTAAAACAAAACAATAATTTTATTTTTAAAGAAAATTAGAATTACATTTAATTATATAGTATAATTAAAACAATTTTCTTTAAAATGTAAAAAAAATTGAGCGGAAAAATTAAAGTAATTATTTTTTAAATTATAATTTTTTCAGAAATTTGAAAAAAACATATATGTATATTTTTGTGTTATTATATTAAATAAAGTTTATTAGACTTTTTTAAATATATAATTAGAAGATTTAAATTATTAATAAAATGTTCATATTCCTGGATATTAATCCTAATTATTTTCGCCATTAATATATCGCAATTAGTCTCTAAATTTAGGTTTTGTTTGATGTCAAATGTGGGATATTATTAAATTTTATAAAATTAAAATAAGTTATTTGTTTTAATTTAAAATACAAGAATATAAATACTTTTTGGTTTGATTTTATAATTGTTATTTTAAGAACATCGGGTATAATTAATTTTATTTCAAAATTTAAGCAGAAGTTGAGTTATCTTTGTATTATATAAACAAGAAACGTCTTGATTAGTACCGTGTTTACTAATATCCTCAATCGATGCTTTACAAACAAATAATTTGAAACCCGTTGATCTTTTACAATATTTTTAACAAAATGTATATTATATTACGTATACGATACCAAAGAATTTATTTCCAAAAAATAATATCTTCATATAATAGTGCATTTCTTTAACAGGCTTTCTCCGCCCCCTCCTGTTAGGTTGCTTAGCATGTTTCCCCCCGCACCGGACATCAAACTTTTAATGTTAAGAGTTCCTTCCGAAAGTCCGCCTATGATCTTCACCACCTCTCCGTAGTTGCCTTCTTGAGCGTATTGTAAAGGGGTCTTGCCCATGCTGTCGGCTTTGAATAAGTCGGCACCTTTAACGCAAAGCATTTTGACAGTATCAAGAGCTCCGCCCTTTGCTGCTATAGTGAGTGGAGAGTTGCCTTGGGCATCGGTTGAATTAACGTCTGCTCCACCTTTGAGAAGCGTTTTCACAACTCCATCCATCATACTCTTACCAACACCCCCTCCACTCTGACCTCCTGTTAGGGTAGAAGAAACCCCCGCTTTTATAGCTTCTAACAGAGGGGTGTTGCCATGAGCATCTTTGAGGTTGGGGTCGGCTCCGCTTTTGAGAAGTGTTTTGACTATATCAGTGGAACCCTTTTGCGCGGCATATGATATGGCAGTTTTCCCCAAGTTGTTGGCTAAATTCGCATCAGCTCCCTTTGATAGCAGTGCTTTTACCATCTTAACGTTGCCAAGCTGGGATGCCAACAAGAGAGGAGTATTATTATCAGAGTCCATGGCGTTAAGGGCGTCAAAAGGAAGCCCCGCCGTATTTCCACCACCACCTGTTGCGGCCGAGGAGGCAACTTTGATCAGCTTCTTAAAAGTATCGTTATCGTTGTTTTTGACAGCGTTCAGTAATTCCATTTTTTTTTATTGTTTATATAAATATTTATATTTTTGAGTAAGTAACAAATTGTATCAGGAACAGAATTTATAAATTTGTCGAAAGGCAACTAATTCCAAGAATGCTTGCTAGATGATGAATTTAATTTGTCTAAATAATTTTCCTAAGAAAAATAAGAAAAAATTGAAGATTTAATATGGAATATAAATATTTATATTTTTGAGTAAGTAACAAATTGTATCAGGAACAGAATTTATAAATTTGTCGAAAGGCAACTAATTCCAAGAATGCTTGCTAGATGATGAATTTAATTTGTCTAAATAATTTTCCTAAGAAAAATAAGAAAAAATTGAAGATTTAATATGGAATATAAAGTTCAGCCACCAGATATCTGTAACTATCCTCAGAAGGACCAAAGAATGAATATGTAATAATGTTACACAAAATGTTTATATTATTAATGTTTTGGCGTATTTTGTTCCCTTTAATCGTTCAACTGTTCTCTTTTAAGCAAAAAAAGGCGAATACGCAAAAATATTTAAAATATATAAGCTTTTTTTTCAAATTAAAAAAAATCTATTCAAGGATAATAAATAATATAATTTTTTTTCTTAATGAAAATTATGTTTTTTTTTAAAATATATAAATTTTTAGCAGTATTAAATTGTGAAAAAAAACCTTTTAAAAATAAAAAAACATTATTTTTTAAAAAAATTTCAATGACAAAAATATGAAAAATAATTAAAGAAATTTTATATTAATTAATTCAAAAATTAAAATGAAGAATCTTTTTAAAATCTTTCTTCAAGAAGAAATTAGAATTCTGATAAATATTCCAGCATTTCTAACTATTAAGAATAGAGATACAACAATCTTCTACTATATGTATAGCCTTGGCTTGGTATTGAGATAAAATTTTCTATTAAAATCAAAACCACAATAATCCTCCATTTGTGTAAACATCACACAATCCTTTTAAAATACAAAAAAAAATGAATTATAAATATTACATAATCTAATCTACCTGAGGGAGGAAGGTGTTTTTTTTCCCTCTTCATATTATTGATTTATTATTTCGTCTAGTAAATTCTCTCAAAGTGAGAATTATTACCTTGAAATTTTTTTTTGTTGAAAATATCAAGTCTAAACAAAAACAAAATTTGACAAAAAAAAGTGTAGCATCTTAATAAGTTAGGATTTATAATTACTACTCCAAAAATAAATTTCGAAATATTTATATAAAAGATAAATCGGATAAAACTACCTTGATATATATTTATTAAATTCTATTTTCTTAAAATTGGGGCCAATAGGTGTTCCCCCTACCCAAGGGGTATTTGAGTTTTATTTCTGTAAATTTCATTATTTAGACTAATATTTCCTTTTAATTAAAATTTAAAATAACTGAAAACATTCATCCCCATGCGAATGGGACAGCAAAATTTTATGCAATTAAAATAATTATATACCTTTTTTTTAAAAAAAATAATATTTACATAAATAATCTATATCACAAATTATTTAATATTAGACTATAAATGTATAAATAATTACCTAATTCATATTATAGGTTCACGAATCCCATTTTAAAATGAAGAAACCTAGTTAGTTATTTTATGATTTTTACTAAAAACTTAATTAGTAAATTAGGGCTTTTTTTAAGAATAGCTAAATATAATTTTCCCGCTTGCCAAAAATCTTAAGCGCCCTGAAAATATTGTATTTTTGAGGAAATTTTTATTTAAAATTTTTAAAACTGAAAATGAGGTAAAAAATATATCATAATTAGATAAATCTTTTGCTTTAAGGCACATATAAATCATTCAATGATTTACGATATTTATTAAAAAATCATTTATAAAACTTGAAGAACAAAAAAATATAATATTGTTTCACGAGTTAATATATTGTGCTGTGTGTGTTGGCTTGGTATATTTGTTTATATTTTGATAGAATATAGATAAGAAACAAAAAGAACTAAATTTTACAAATACTTTACATAATTGCAAAAAAATTAAAATCTAAACAGAAATGTAAATATTTATTAAAAAAAGTCAATAAAAATAAACATAAGGGGAAAAAATTAAAAAATAATATATTAAGGAATAAAAAAAAATGTATATAGTTTCTAAACGAGTTCAATATAAGTTATAATTATGTTATATTGTGTTATCATAACCTAGATCTAAGCGTGGCATGAATTTCCATTTTTTTTTCTCTTTCTCACCCCATCCCAATTCATTAAATTCATATAAATCTCTGTTTATGTAATTAATGTTTTATAACAAAACATTTTTTTTACATATAATTATTTTTAAGAGTATTATAATAATTTAGTAGAAAAAATCTTTTACTTTATGAATTTAAACTAAGTGTAGTTATCTTGTAGAAGTAGGCGCGCGCTGGCAGTAAATTATTTTGCTCAGCCCGTAAAATATTTTTAATAAATTTGATAAATTCTTAACTTTAAAAAAATTCAAACTTGTGGTTGCAGCTTAATCTACAAAAATATTTTTCGCAAGTTATATCTGGTATAGTTAAGTATGACCCAGATCGTTAAATTGTAAATTTTCTCTAGAAACATTGGAAATAATTTACATAATGAAATATCATTACCAAAAATATCAGTGTTTTAATTAAAATAAAGGAAGTTAGGGTGAAATTAATTTTATCATTTAACATTCATATGCTGCTCGTATTTACCGTTTTTTCCGATATTTCTTCAACTTAAAATCATTTTTTGGAGCGCGTTTTTTAAAATTTAAAAATCTGATTTTATCTAAAATTTTGATCATGTTTGTAACAACCCTATAAATTTCAGACAATTTTGACACGAACTTTTGAACTTAACATAATTTATATTAGTTTTTCGATATATTATAGAAATTTTAAATGACTCAAAGGTTATCTTCAAGATCGTCTACAATTCATAAGTAAGGTATTCTAAACATGCTAAATACATTTCCGGTATAATCTGATTTTTAAATTTAAATAAACGCGCACAAAAAATAATTTTAAGTTGAAAAAATAACACATTGCCGGAAAAAGTACATTGCCGCTAATATACACATTATTTATAAATATAAATAAGAGCCGGGGTATAAAAAAATTTTCTTTTTGATGGACTTGAATTTTTTAAACTTTGGTCGATCAATAAATATTCGACCTCTATAGGTCTGATATTTATCAAGCCCCTTTAAAAATAATATTACATTTTAAATCTTAGCACAAGTTATAAATGGAAACGTGTTATCAATCTTTTGAAGTCTACATTGTCCCATACAACTTCATTGCCATTCATTGGTCAAATATCAAAGAAGGAATATGCCAAAATGTTGCGAGTTACTTAACATTTTTATTTACCAAAAAAAGAATGTCAAAATATTGTTATAGTTTATTGACATTTTTATTTATATCAGAAACCTGCAGCTGTGGAGTACTAATTTCTAGCTCTCCCGGTCTAAAGTTTTTTAAGAAAAAATACAATGGTAGATAGTTTTATTTGATTTTAATTTTTGAATATTTTAAAATTTATTCGATTCTAATATAAATCTAGTCACTAATCTAAAATATTTTTGATTTTAAATTTTACAGATGGATGCATCTTCGAATAGTAAAAACGATTTCAATTGACTATTTAAAAGAAAAGATTATGAATATTTTTAATATTTTTTCATAATACAATATTAAAAATATTTTTATTATTTATCATTCCATTATGAAAGATTATGCAGTAATGCAAAACTTTAACTAATAAAAAGTGTAGATGGGGTAACAGTTAAATTAATCATCGGCGTCAGGAGGGAGGGTTAGCAACCTTAAGTTAAATTGCAACCCAATTTATAAAAAGTAGCTTTGAAACCCTGTCAGAGCCAGTGTTATCACCAACAAAATAGCTATGAGTAGTATCATAGAATGATACAATGTCATAGACTATGACGCCATAAAACGACTAAATTTTAATAACTACGAATAATCGCCTATAGTTAATTTTAAATATCTATGGCTAATAGTTATTTTTTTTTAAATCAATTAACCGTCCCCCTATTCCTTTATATTAGAACTTTATATAAAATTAAAAAATCTTTTTAAAATATTTACAGCCTGAGCTATTTAAAATTGACTATAAATGGCTAGTTATTTTTTATAAGCGATGGCTAGTTAAACTTAGCCATTCTCCATCTTACGAGGAGCGAATATCGCACTACTTCAAAAAAAATATAAATCGGGATTGATAATGTTGTGTTACAAATATATGATTATTTATAAGATGAGTTAAACAATCAAGAATTAAATTTAAAGTTGGCTGCCTGTTTAAATATGACGACTTCTATCTCATATGAATGTGCTGCATAAACCAATAAGTCAATCTGTCCGACATAGTCTCAGCAAAGGGGTCATCACGCTGCAGGTATTAAATTCAACCACGTTTTCCTATCATCCACTGTCCATTCCTTCTAACTTTATACTAAAATTTTCAAAACTTACTCAATTATTAAATTGATTGTAAACACAAACTTGTAAATATTATATTAAAGTTTTATTATTTTTCTTTTAAAATTTAATTTTATATCATCCATAATTTTATAATCTACTAATCTCGTATATTAATTCTACAATTTAGTATTCTTTCTTACATATATTTTCACGTTAATATTAAGTAAATTTTACAATCTAATATAAATATAATTTCTAAAATATTATTAATTTCATTAAAAAAGATAATTACAATTATATAAATATAATAAATGGCTTTGGTTAGCCTTCATGTGAAGGCACAAATATATTGATAATTTTGTCATAGTAAGAGAAAATTTACATAATAATAAAATTGTATTTTTGATTCCATAATGTTTAAGTTAATCGAAGCTCAATTAAAAAACTATTGCTCTTTGATTAATTTAAATGCTTATAAATTTATTTTAAATAATTCTATATATTACCCTATTTCTGTTAAATATAAATATTTTATAAATTTATATAAAAAAAATTGCATTAGATCATTATTTTTATGAATGAATTTGTAAACGACTAGTTAATGAATATCCCATTGCTATAGAATTAAAATTATTACTGGTGAAATCTGTCAAAGGAAGAATCTTGATAGATGAAAGAAAATTAATTTCCTTTTAAAAACTATTTTTACAGACAAAATCTTAATTTTTAGAGCGGTTGTAACGAGATGTGGGCGAAAATTATGACGAATATTCCAAAAATTAAATTTAGTATACCTAAACCATTTAGACAGAGAGTAGCAAAATATTATTAAAAAAAATTATTGAACAATTCCTATTTTTTGTTTACTAAAGTGCTTTTTCTATATCACAATTTGTATTGGTGCTAAATAACTTCAAAAAAAGGGAAAGGAAAATTTTATAGGCATTTTAGGATTTTCCATCTGTCAGATTTCATTGTAATAACTTTTATAATTATATATTTGAGGAAAAAATAAATTATACAAATAAATATAAGTATATAATTTACAATATCTATAAAACAATTATTTATAATAAATTAATGAGGTAGACCTATATGCTACTTGTAAAAATGGGCGGACAAAAAACATTTATTATTTAAATTTTGTTTGCAATTTATCGAGCGTGACTAGAAAGCTGGAGATTTTTTTGATACCAGAAAATTTGTGTGCTTCATCTATATATATATAATATTTTTTTAAAAAAAAACATTATTAATTTCTGAAAATGATTTATTTATTAATAAATAAAAGCTAAATGTAGATCACCTAAACCTCGGTTTTTACCTGTGACAGCTATCATTTAAGAAAACCTCAAATTATTCGAGGTCGAGGTGGTCGATATCTAATAAAATTATAGCCAAGCATGTATAATATAGAAAACATATATAATTATTTTGTATGGAAAATAGAAATGGTTAAAGAAAAATAACACAAGGGGAAGAAAAGTGTACAATAATTTTTGTGGTTAAACCTCTTGAAGAAATAGCAGTATTGGATGAAGTTTAAGATTTAGCTAGGGTCAGGTATAGTTGATAATAATTCTTTGAAATAGGTTTTAATCTATCTAACCATCTATTGTTAAAAAAAATTTAGTTAAAAGAATGTAAATATAATTAATGTTTTTAGATTTCTTTTTTGATAAAAATTACTGCATTCTTCTAGCAATGAGTGAGGCAAGGTCTAGATTATAAATTTCGCTTATTAATATGATATTATGGTTTCCAGCGTTATTTCTCTCTCAATTTAAAATTCGTTTCATCTAAAAAAAAAGAAGTTAAAATAACTTTTTGAAATCGGAATTGGTCGGCATAGCCATATATAAGACGAGTCCTTGGCCCATAAATTTTATACAATTGTGCATTCTTATAGAAGGCTTTACCAAATAATCGGGCACGAATATCGTCTCCGTTTTGAAGCTCATCTTCAAAAAGAATAAATAAGATTTTAACCCATCAGTATACTCTCGTATGGTCTACAGGACCACAAAGCGTGTTAAAATTAATATTACTTGGAAATGGTTACTATGATCTCAAATCTTAGAATATATACATATATCCAAAATTTTGTTAATTTTGATTAAGTGGTTTTGATAAATATAAATTATTTGTAAAGGACGTGGGTCTGTCAAATAAAATTCCAAGCCTAACATACGTAGGTTTTTTTAAGTTAATATTTGAGTATTTTTTAAAAAATTTTAGAAAATTTTGGCGTAAATAGAATTTATCTTAAACATTTTTTACCTAATCATAATAAATAAATGTTTTATAAAGTTTAAGGTTGGATTGAGTTGCCAAAATAAATATAATGAATAGAAGTGGAGATAAATTAACATTTTAAATTTGACAGACCCCATCAGAGCTCTTATGTCATTTTTTCAAGAAGATCTCATATCCCTTACTTATTTATAAATCCAAATTAACTTATTTAATCACCAAATTTTTAGACCCTTAATTTTGATATCCTTATTTAATAATGATAAAATGAAGAGTAATTTGATTACAAAATAATAACCTGATTCAAAAATCGATCCCAAGATGGCGTCTGTAAATACATATATGGTGCTGGTGCTATCTCAAATTTTTTTTTTTCTTTAATTTCCGCAATTTCATTTTCATTGCGAAAATAGATTAGTGCCCTAGTTTGAAACCATCCAGTTTTAAGAGACGCTGGCAGGAAAGACAAAATGGCAGAGGAAACAAAAGCAGATGATTTTGAAGTATTATTATTATCGTTCGTTTGCCTGTATTTGTCGTCTGGAGATTTAATTGGAATTTCCTCTTCTAGCTTGTATTTATCGTTTGAAAAAGATGCTGAAGCAGACGATGATAAATAGTGCAAATTATCGCCTTCTATGTGTTTATCGGTAATAAATCTTTGTAAGTAAGGAGTTGAAAAAGGCGATAAAAATGTTTTATGAATGCCTTTGGGTGAATCTACTTTTTTGACCAACACCCAAGTAGTATAATTCATCAATCCTTTGTCATTTTTGGTCGAAACTTGAATGCTTTTGTCCAAATTATTTTCTAGTTACATATACAAATTAGCGTGTAAAATAAAATTGTCTTAAATGTTAGCATGTGGTTTGATTTCAAAAAATAAAATTTTACCCTCAATTTACCAGAAAAATTACTATGCATGTCTTACTAACGGGGTCAAATACAACCAGTAACTAAAATATAAAGAATTAGTTCACATCAATTCCTTTTAATAAATATATTTCATATTAGCATGGATTAGTGACCTATCTATAACAGTAGCCCCTGCAACGGCGCAGGTTAGAAGAAACTGCTAAATAAAAATTGCATGGGAGTACCGACCTTTCAAGCAATTGCTTCAATAGGGAAATATTGCACCCCCATGATAGGGGTATATTTATTTTAAAAAAATTATATGAAAAATATGTTATTAAAAAAATTTGAAAAGAAATTGAGGCTAATAGATGCTACTCGATTATAGTCAATGGTATTTCTGACGCTTTTAAATTAGAAGTAATGGAATTAAAGATATATATAAAATGGTGAAAAACAAAACACAGTTAAAAGAGTCATTGATACATAGTACTGGTAACACAAATGGTGTTAATATAAAAAATATATTTACAAACTTAACTAAAAGTTACCGCTAGAATTAGTTGGGCAGAGCTATGATTGAGTAGATGGATAAAAGGAATTCAGGCTTTGATATAAACTGAGGGCCTAAATGTGGTTTTATTTGGAACGATTAAACTTAATAATTGTTCAATTAGATTCATGTTTATTTTAATGGGGTTAAAAGGTAAGTGAAAGCATGTCAGAGTGAAGAACTGATAAAATAGCAACGATTTTTGCGAATCAATAATATCCTTCGATAATATTATCTTTTTGTTTAGGTTTAAATATTTATTTTATATATTTATAGAAGCTGATTATTAGCATATAAAGCCATTGAAACTGTTTTTCTACTTTATGATGCCTTGAGGGCATCATTGACTAATTTAAAGCTGTCACTTCTGCAATGATTAGTGCTATTGTTTTTAGAATAGAAAAATTTGATATAATTTTATCATTTTGTGTTTTGAAAAAAGAATTATTTATTGATAACAAACTTGGCATGTACAAAATTGCAAACCATGTCAAAGGGCATATGGTTTGCAATTAATCAAGTTCAATTGGCAAAAGGTTGTCTGATTCATTTGGAAGTAAAATTTAAATTAATGTCTTGTATCATTTTTTTAATCTTATTAGATAATGAAATTGAATATTATCGTATTTTCTAAGGCTCAAGAATTTATAAAGGTAAGAGATCTATCTTCTGATTTGAAGGTTCGAGGATTTAAACAATTCAATCCAAAAAGGAAGGAATTATATACTTTCATTATTAAATTTAATATTTTATTTAATCCTTAAAACTAGCGTGTTTTATGCTGCATTTGATTTTGTTATAATGCAATTTAATGAAGAATATAATGATAATTCCATATACTTTTAAATCAAACAGAAAATTGTAAATTTTATCAAAATATTTCATTATTTAACATCTTTTGATGATAATGTGTTATGATTCAGACTGGAAAAACTATTCTTTAATTTTACCTTATTATTCAATTCCCTTTTCAGCTTTACCTAATTTATTAATTTTATATACATATTTATCCTATAATCTCAGATATTGCCGAAAGGGTCATGTGCAAAATGAAACAAGACTTAGGAGCATTATGAATGATCTATTACTTAATAATTTAACCATTATATCAATGGAACAAAATTTATTTAGACAGTTAAATATCGACGAAATTATAACTTATTTCGCTCTCCTAATTTATCTAAATTATTAATTTATTTTATTGTGAATAATTATATTTAAAAGAACTTTCCAAAATGAGAATTCCAACCTGACAAACTCATTAAGTTTTTATTAATAACATAAATTCGTCAATTTATAGTGGTGGTTAGTAGTCTACAGTGCCTGTCAAGGGTTAATATTATAGGCCTGACGTTAAAAATAGATATATTATTTCTTCCATTTATAAAAAGTCGGGCCTCGAACCGTTAGACTTAGTGCTAAACATTCTTACCACTGAGCTTTAGATATACCGATGCTAAATCTCCTAGCCTTAGTTGACTAAATACAGCTTAGCCAAGTTTTTAACCTAAAAAAATAATTTAAACCTCTAAATTGAGCCTCAAATTAAAGATTGAGATGAATTTTTTAAGATAAAAACTTGGCAAGCATTTTGGTGGAATTGCCAAAAGTTAGATGGCTTGAAAATAAATAGCTTTTGCAGGTCTCTAGTTGTGGGTATTAAGTATACAAGGTCTTAGCGGTCCATCTGTAAAAATTTTCAAAAAGGTTTCTCAGCTCAATCCTAAATAAAAAAAAATTATGAAGAAAATAGAATAGATATAAAATTTTGCTAAATTAGGCCCGTAAAAATATTTTGCACAAGTTTGCCTGACCCCAAAATCTTTTCCCGCACTCGGGTTGAGGTCTATTAGGTATTAAAGATAAGACTTTGTTTGGAGAAGGTTTTAGGTAAATTTATAATAAAAATAAACTATATACTTTGTTGTTCCAGCTTGACGTTAGAGAGTTTATCGGCTAAATCCTTTTAAAATCAATAAAAGAAGAAGAAAAATAGACTCAAAAAAATGTATTCAACACAAATATAACAATATTTTTAAATATTAAAAATTACGTCATTTTAAAATGAGCGCTTTAATGAAAACTTAATTTATTAAATGTGGTAAACTTTGAAAGTTATAAAAATATCATTTAACTTTTATAGATTTCTATAAATTAATTACCAAGGCCTCGTTCGATATGGTGTATCTTTTAGGTATGGATATAATAGAATTATCCCATTTTTTCTGTCCTATAATCTTTTTATTATCAAGATTTTTAGGGTCTATGTAAGGCATTTTCGCCAAACCTACACTTTGGTTGGCGGGAATCCCCAAAATATTCATATTTTTTCCGTTCTCAGTGGCCTCAAAGTTTCTATAAGGTAATTGATAACCGTAACATTTAGACCCAAAGAGATTTGTATTATTTATACAATTTTTCTTGTTCCCTTGAATAATATTATTGCTTAGACTTTTATAAAATTTAGAAGTATATGAGAATTTTGGTGAGAAATTCTCTTTAGTCATCTGGAAATTATCGTTCAGTTTTTTGGCGGAATTTGAAAGGGTCAATTTTTTGACCATCTTTTTGGCGGCGGAAAATTTTTTGAGGGATAAAATTAAGATATTGTCGTTCATATTTTTTTTTGAGCCTTGAATCGAGAAATCGGAGGAGGAAATGGAATGTTTGGTCGTTGTTTCTTTGGAAAACATATTCTGTTGAAATTCTATAACAAAATTTAAAAAATATTTTTTTAAACGTTATATCGATTTAAAGAGAATAATATTTATTATATCATTGGATGCAAAAATTTCATTATTGATAAAACTATATTATCATTATAATTTAAGAAAGCACCTCAAATGCGAAAATATTTGGAGTGATAGATTGGAGGTGTATATTAGAATCCTGTATGGACAAATGAAGCCCGAGGGGAAGTCAGATCAAGCGGACTCGGGCCAAACTTTATAAAATCAAATGGACTCTGCGGAGGAAGGCAAGACCGATAAAAACAGATAGGTATTTAACGTAAAATATATTATTCTTGTCAGCAATTTTCAATCATAATTTATTTCATTAAAAACTATGTGAAATAATTTATAATACGTCCTTATTAATTTTCAACCTAGATTATTGTCATAAAATGTCACAAGTTTATTCACACATTTTCCAATTGAATCTATTTAAAACTTACTTTTATATGATCGCCATTGCAATATGAATATACTGTTTTATTAGGTGATTTGGATTTTCGAAGTTTATGTTTCAAAAACAAAGAATAAATTATTATTTTGAAATTATTACTTAATTATTTAATTTAAAAAAATTTAATTTTTTGAAATAAACCTGTATCCAAATGATCCACTAGGAATGATTTTCTTTTACCACCGATTTCCATAGAGTTCGAAGGATTTGTTTTTCTTTCAAATATCGTATTGTGAATTTTTTTAAAAAACCCATGCGTGTCAATCGAATTGTGATCGATTTGAGATGGAATGATCCCCCTTTTCATTCTTTATTTTTCTCAATCATTCTTTTGCCCATTCATTCTACCCTTCCTTTCTTTCTTCCTTTCTTTCTTTCTTTCTTTCTTTCTTTCTTTCTTTCTTTCTTTCTTTCTTTCTTTCTTTCTTTCTTTCTTTCCTTCCTTCCTTCCTTCCTTCCTTCTTTATTTAATATCAACTTTCTTTAACGTCCTCCCCCTTTTCCCCCTTTTTATTTCTTCAAAAATTACTTTTTAAACGGTAATATGATCCGATCTCCAAAATAAAATTTAGGTTTTGACGAATTGTTATCTTTTGCGGTAATAGTGGCATCGTTCCCAAATTCTCGGCTCATTTTACAGTCCAATGAGTTTTTAAAAAAATTTCTCCGATTTTGATGCAACAACCAATTTTTCATGGCTTAATTTATAAAATTAAGGCAAAAAAAACATAATAAAGATAATTATTTTTTAAAGAAATAAATGTACGGCGGCGAACTATAAAAAATTGTATAATTATGATTGCTATAAGAAGTTTTTCTATATATATATATATATATATTGAAAAGTCATAGAATGAAAGAAAGAAAAGGAGGTAATAAATAGTGATTGTTTCCTATTGGTTGCGCTTGTCAATCTAGATAAATTACAAGCACCAATATAGGTGGATATATTTTGAACCCAGATAAGGATCCCTACATGGAATCGTAATTAAATTTGTTATTTTGATCTTTATAAACTAAATTATTCGATCTAAACAAATATATGATATAATGGTAAAGTAATTAACTTCATTTTTCGAATTTTAGCATATTCGACATTTTGTAAGATTTTAGCAAAAATAATATTATATAAGCTTTGAAATTTAGCAAATAGAAGTCCAAACTTTTATGACATCGGAGTTAAATCTCCAGGCTTACATAATATTATCTCGACTAAAATCTTAATAGGGCCGTTTTTAAAAATCAAATCGGATGGTTACTTTTTGAAAAATCGATCTATAAACGATTATTATTTTACTGTCGATTTTTTATGCACAATAATTTTACTTTTAAAATTCAGATTTATAAAGGTTTGTACTTTTAAATTGAAAATGATTTCTTTTATAATTTCCACCATTGAGAAAAGGTTCCTTATTTCGTTGAGCAGATGAAGCACTCATATCCGGGATTAACATGTTAACATCGGTCCTTGATCTATTTTTAAATACATTTTCTTCGTAATCGGAAGAAGAAAAGGAGGAATTGTGGTCCATTAAACGGTTTTTACACTTAAATTTATTTACCTTTAAAGTGGAAAGAAAAAGAAATGATTTGAGAAAAAGAACATATATGGGGATTTGAGACTTGCAAACCCCGGCCTGCCCTGGTTGTAAACATTTTAAAAAAATTATAACGGGCCGGGCAATTTATCAGAGACGAAGGCCCGGCCCTAAGCCCAGCCAAGATACTCGGGCCAGGCCGTATTTTAATTTTTTTAAAATATACCCGGATTGAGCCTGAAGATTTTTTTAAAAAAAATATACCTGAGTCGGGCCGTATATTTTAAAACCAAATATTTTAAATAGCCATTATTAGTTATAAAAATTGAAAATAAATATAATATATTTTAAAAAAATCAGGGCCGGGCCTAAAAATATTTTTAAAAAAAACCGTGGGTTTGAAAATATAAAATCCGGGCCGGAACGAAAAAATTTTTTTAAAAAAATTCCGGACCGAGCCTTGCTAATAGTACTTCTACAGGTCTCTGCAATTTTTACATAAAAAATTAGGCAGAAATCTCTCATCTTTTGTAAAATTTTGATAATTTATTTTAATTTTCAAACTAATATTTTGAATTAATATAATTTTAAAATACTACAATATGCTCATTTCATTGTATTTTAAGAATCATCTAACCAAAATAATAAATCTATAAATAACATAGTAAATTCAAAAAAATTAAACAAGTAATTTATATGATCCAATTACAAATACACAATACAGATATGGTTGTTGTAAAAAGAAATAGATAGTCATAGAGGAAAAATATAAAGTCCTTAATTAAAATTGGGAAAAAATTACAAACAGATAATAAAAAATGTGATGGCCGGAAAATCCGTACAAAAAAATTTAAAAAGCCCGGGGCGGACTTCATAGAATTTAAATGAGCCTGGTCGGGTCTGGCAAATTTAAAAAATTTTAAGAACCGGGCAGGCAACTATTGCAAAAATTCTTAACCGGTCGTATCAGACAGGTATTATATTGTCGTTCGTAATATTGTTAAAAGAAATAGGGTTTTGGGGACAGTGATGATCACATTAAATAGGCTAATAAACAATCATCGAATTCCTAAATAATTTACGCAAGATTGTTCTTTCAGAATATTTTCAACTATGTTCATGGTTCGTTTAATTTCGGGAGCAGACGACTCCGAATCGTAAGTAGTCGGCGAAAATTTAAATTGGCTGGCGAGAATATCATTTTGGCCATTAGAGGGTGCATTTGATACGTACCCATTTTTCCTAGAGTTTTTATATAAATTAAATATATTATGCAAAAGATATATTATAATATTGCAATTTGCAGGTGAAGAATCCTCATCATCTAAGGCTGTGTAAAAAAGGAGAATAATTAGAAAACGTTTCCGTAGTAAAAATTTAATTTGCAATTCAAGAATATCATAATTAAAATGTGAACACTGATGATAATTATTTATAAAATTAATTTATTATTTTCATTACCAATAAAGTGCAAGTTTATTGGTAATATAAAAAACGTGGCCATCTTCATTATGATGGCGACAATTTTTTTAACCCTTTGGACAAAATTGAGCTGGTGATCACCTTGTAAATAATATTATTGTAATGCCAATAAATAATCTAAATTAACTTAGCATCATGAATATCTGAACCAGGAGACACGATAATATTAGCTTGGGTAGAGTAGGTAATATTCTTAACTTGTCGCCAATTTGTACATGTTCTAGTTATTAGGGTTAGATAGGAAGGTGGATCGACTGAGGAGAGTAGAAGATTTTTGACGTTGGTTATTTCCCAACCAATCTCGAAAATGTAAATGATGTAATAAATTAAATAAATAATAAACGTTATTAATAAAATAATTGAATTTGAATAAACATGAATGCTCCTTTAATTTTGCGATTAAACAAATTATTGATGAATGTAAAGAATAAATTTAAAGGATACTTCTTTAAAATTAAGTTCCTTTTTCGCCATTTTACGATGCTAACTTACACCATATTTTATATTTTTTTGAACTTATCTTTGATTCACAGAAAATCCATTTTTTTAAAAAAACTATCTCAAAGGGCAAGCAATTTATTTAAAAAATTAATGCTATAAAAATTAAAGAAAAATAGGAAATTAGGGCACGATTTCTTGATGTCATTTTTTGCCATACAGCCAAATAGTATATATTAGAAAGGTAATGTGCTTTTTGAAAAAATCAATTATAATAATGACACTCCCAGTGTACTATAATGCATATTTCGAGAAAAAAGGGAGGTATATTTGCTGTACCATGGTGAATGGAAAGGGTTAATCTGGGAAAATGAAAAGGATATTAATTAGCCTAAAATGCACACTAATATTTTTTTTTAAATATATGTAAACAAAATTTTGATTTAAAAACAATAAATAAACTATGAGCTTGTTGGATATCATCAAAACTTGGTCTCCTAGATCTAAGCGACCGCAAAGCGAGGCTGGAGACTGCATATAAAAAAATAAATTATTAACAAACATATTTTGGACTAAAAAATTTTCTAAACAGATGTAGCTGAGCTACACTTCCTTAAAAAAAGTATAGACCATATATAAAAAAAAGAGAAGAGATTTCCTAATATTAAAATATATAAATGGCGAAAAATTTTTTTGTTTAAAAAATTCTGATCTCCATTTAATGATATGAAACAGAGATTTGCAAAGCCCGACCCCTCCTGTCCCAAAATCCAGCTTGCGGGCCAGGTAAATCTAAAAAAATATATAAAGGGTTGAACAATTCGTACCTAAAAATTTTAGGGCCATGACGGACAATTTGTACACAAAAATTTGGATGGGTTTGAAAATCTCTAATTTTTCATAAAAAAATTTGATAAATTTTTTTTGAATTTAAAGATAGTATTTTGATTAATAAAATTTAGAAATAAATTACAATATCCGTATTTCTTTATATTTTAAGAACTCTCTAACTAAAATACTAATTTTTAAATAATATAATAAATTGATAATAAATTAAACAAGTTATTCATAATCAAGTTAATTATGATGTGTTCTAATTACAAATACACAAACACAATACAGATGTCAAACACAATTGATTTATAAAACAGTTGTTGTAGAAATAGGTGGCCATAGAGGCTCCCGTTCTAAATCGCTAAAAACAAAAATAAATAATCGAGAATTACGCTTATATCTCCTAGATAATTTTTAAAGTAAAATTGTAATTAATATTTAAATAAATGCCAAGGAAGTAAACACTTGTATTTTTAAATTGAGTTTTTCTTAAAAATAGCCAAAAAATGGGGTAAATATCATCAAGATTCTCCCCAAAAAAATCCAATCAACTATTATTATTTTCAATATTACTTTTAAAATTTTCCAGGAGATATAAACGAGATTCCAATTTTTCTTAGCGATTTAGAATCGATCCTGCCATAGATGAGAGATATAAGAGCCTTAATAGTATTTGAGGAATATAGATAATAAAAAATATAATGGCCGGAAATTCGTATAAAAAAATTTAAAAATCCAGGGTGGAGTTTTCGTAAACTTTTAATGGAACAGGTCGGGTCGAGCAATTAAAAAAGTTGGGCTCTAAAAAAATTCATATCAATTAGACTCCTGCTCTGTATTTAGCTGTTTGCTCCGTCCATCGAGTCAGGTCTATTTAAGGCTATATTCATAGTGAGATCTTCCGGCGCCATTTAGAAGCTGATTGATTTTTTAAATCTGTTTATGAGATCAATTTTTCTTTATTAAATCAATAATTCCTAGATTATTATCATGAATAGGAATTAAGGATAAAATTAATATAAAAAAAAATTGATTTTTTTAAACAGATTTTTAAAATCGATCAGGTGTTAAATCGTGTCGGATCGGATCATACTTAGTATTCAATTTAGAGCAGTTAAATCCGAAACGTCCGGACTAACTTCAGGAGCCAAACTCGAATCTGTAGCCTAGTGTGTAAAAAAGATTTATATTTTTCTTTTAAATAGAATATATTTATTTAAATAATAAGATTTGGCGGCGTCTTGATAAAAAAAAATAACTAACATTAATGCAAAAAAAAGTAAATTCAATAAATTAAATAATAAGTATTGTTAAAAGTATTAAGTTACCGTTACAATTTGCATTCTTAAAAATGTAACTAGTTATAGTTACTAATTTATACTTTAAAAAAAGGTAGCTAGTAAGAGCAACCAGTTAATTTCTAGTTTATAAATTATTTATTATAACTCAACAGTAAAATTAATATGTAACAATAATCATTAATAATAAGAAAGGAAATTTTTTTTAAATATTCTAATAATCACAAAAAAATGAAGTAATTAAGTATAAATGAGGAATGGAGGTTGTCATTCATTATAAAGAAAACTTTTTATTAGCGCATTTTTGGTAATCAATATCAACCTTATTGTAAGTATTACTAATTCAGTTTCTTTCTTAAGAAATAAGAGATAAAATATAATATATTATAAAATATTATTATAATCAAATATGTTATTTTAGTTTTAAATTGTTAAACGAAATTATTTTGGAAATTAAAAAAAAAGAGTGAAATATCTAAGGCATCCTAGCTCACTTTATAAAATCAAGAACTCATATAGGATGTATGTGTAATCTCTAACATTCGAATTTATTTATGACTAAATAAAGGATCCCTTACTTCAGGTGCTATATAGGAGATTACGTGCCAATCATTCTCGACCTTTATATCGATGCCCTAATAAATAATACAATTTTAGAAAAAGTTGATCTTTCGTTTTAAAAAAATTATGAAATATGAAGTAAAAAAGCTAAAGAAAAACCCATATATTTTCGTTGAATTTGCCATTTTCATCTCCCCTATTTTCCGTCTTATTGGATCTTTCCAACTCGTCGCAACTTCTAGAAGAGTGAAATGTAGCCGGCAAGAAAGAAGATTTGAGAACAAGTTTTCTGTAAAAAAAGGGCGTCAGAAATATTTCCGGTTCAAATTTAGAGGAGGATGACCGAATCACAACACGGCAAAACTCTATAACAACTGACATCTTTAATAATAAATATATATTTATAGGGGGGGGGGGAGAAGAATACAGCGAGACTTGTAAAAATATGAAAAAATCTTATCAAAGTTTTCATTGTTTTATATACTAGACTAACCCTGACAGCGCAAGGGCAATAATTTTCACTGATGGCTTTCGCATGAATACATTGTAATTATCCATTCCACTTTAAATGAGAAAAAAAGGGTATTAAATTATTAAGATTTCTTTTCGTTAGTCAAAAGAATTCCTCCACAATTCACCTCTTTTTTTACATATCTTAAAGCTAATTGCTTTGAGAAATTTATTTAGTCTTATTAGCATTTTAAATGAGAACCGAACTTGAGTGTTCTTCTTTATGAAGGTCTCAGTTCACCATGACCACCGATGCAAACTGGTGTCCTTTGTAAGGAAATTATCCCAAAATTCATGCTTATTTTTTATAAAAAGGCATAAGTTGGAACGGGGACCAAAAAGGTTTCCGGTTCCGCTTTTGAGTATTTTTTAAGTGGTTCTACATTTGGTTCCTAAAATTTTAAAAAGTTGGTGGTACTCCCTAAATTTGGAGCGGTTCCGAGGGTTAAGGATACAGGTTCCAAATGCTGTTAAAGCATTAAAAAAATTAATAAATCGGAGTTAGAAAAAAATTTTCAAATATTTTTGATTTGTTTTTTTAAGAGGATCAAAATCTTTTTTTTTTTAAATTTGTTATTCCATCATGAAAGATTTTTTTATAAATAAAAATAACAAAAGATTTGAATTTGAAGTAAAATTTAAATCAAAAAACTTGTTTTGACATTTGAGCATTCTCAAAAAAATCTTTATAAATCAAATTTTTTAAAATTCTTGAATAAATAAATCCTCTAAAATAAATGAGGCAACTTTTAAGACAATATAAATATATAAATGACTCGCGCTTCTGATAGAAGCGATCCCGGAACGTTTTCTGAAAATTTTAATATAAATACAAATTTTGAAAATAGAGTTCCGGTTCCTAGATTTCTCCCGGTCCAAATGGTTACAGGTTTCAAACTAAAAAAACCAAAATGGTTTTCATTTTTATAAGATAATTCTACAATTTCCAATGACAATAACCCATTAGTGGTATACGTAATATTAGAAGGTATCCACTCCGCCCGCTCATCTTCCCTAATTATTTTTTTCTCAAAATCAAATCAATGTACAGAAATATAGGTAAATATTTTTTTTACAGTGGAATTTAAATCTCTTATTAGTTGATTATCTTTCAGCTGGCTCTCCCTCCTCTTCTTTAAAAATTCTTTAGACTTTTGACAAACATTTTCGTTATTAATACAACCATCGCTTTCTTTTCGAGTATGACCGTCATCCTTATCCTTAAAATCATCTTCCACAACTTCGTGATTAGCTTCATTATAATAGTTGAACTTGGTAGACTTTCCATTCCGAACCTCATCACGATCTTTAGGGCCATCACCGCTAAATTTATGATCAATGTTTTTACTATTATCATTGCCGTAATTAAACATGGAGGGGGCCTGATTTTTAGGAGATGGCGTTTCTCTCAGAACCTTTAAGAAACCCTTGAATACGCGAGATGTCAAATTGACTAAATCCATGCAAAGAAAGCAAGTAGTTATTTTAACGGTTTGGCAATCATCCTCCTGGGAAGTTATGAAATCGAATCTATTGTTATAATGACAAGAATACTAATGTTATTAGTACTAGATAAAAATCTTATTGAGAAGGAAAAAAAATATTATAATTTCCTTTTATTATTATATTGTTCCATCTCAATTTTAGGTAAAATCTTATATTATTTATAAATATGAAATTTAGGAAAATCATATTTTATAAAAGGTTAAAATCCATTTTTCATAATTTATTTACCTAGCCAACCAATGGATGATATCATTAAATATTTTGATCAAATTTTTTAGTTCCGTGTTTATATAGGCTAGCAGTGTATCTTCGTAACTCGATCTCTGTCTATCATAATTTTTAAATGACATCTTATTCTTTAAAACACTTCTCAAGTTGCTGGCAACAGTACAGGCCCTGCAATAAAGTCTCTGTAGTGTCTCATATTTATTGTCGTACACCTAATATTTATAAAATTAATAAGAAAAAAATAAAATAGGGGAAAAAAATTAAGAGAACAAGAGAATAAGAAAAACAAGGAGTTAAATTAAGGTGCATCCATCGAACCCAGTATTTAGAAGGAAGCCAATTGGGTATGATTCCTACTTTACCTATATCAACTCTTTAATAGGGAGAAATGTTTTTGGATAATTGAACAAATTAAAAATATATCGATAAAATAAATATGCATATAAAGCAAATGAGGTATTCCAATTATCCAAAATATCTATATAAACACAATATTTTCCGCCATTTTTATATAGCGGCTCAGTCAATTTTAAAATATCGTCCCCAATATTCTAAAATATGGATAATCGGACCGATCTGATTCATATTTAAAAGAGGGTACATTACTTTCCCTAGATTAAATCAATATTTTTCAAAGGGGAAAAAGAAGATGAATGAGTAAAAGAATCAGAGAAAATGTTAACAAACAAGATTTATAAACAAAAAACTTAAGAAATTTTTTTTTTAATAAATAAATTTGCATACCAAAAAACCAATTTTTGATATTAAATAAGTCATGTGATCTGAAGATTTTTCATCAGTAATTCCAATCACATTTCTAAGGTAATGCTTGTCAGTAAAATTCAAAAGCTTAGAGCCATCTATTTCTTGTTCCTTGTATTTTCCAGCAAATTTTGACAGGTCTTCATTTAGTCCTATTATATAGATTGTATAATTATAACAAAATAAACGAGATAAGATTAAATTTTTAAAATAATATATAAAGCATTCATATATAAATAGACATTGTGTAAAATTAGTTAAAGGATTTCGGATTTTAATATCTAATTTACTAAAATCTAAAAGTCCACCTTGTCTCTGTAATTCCAAGCAAAATAAGGTAATTTAGTTTATTGAGTTCAATTAGCCTAGATAGGTTTTTTACATTTATTAAATATCTAGTGTTGTTAAAAAGCTCGATTTAAAATAATATGTAAATCTGGAGATTTTGTTTGAGGGTGACAAAAAGGGTTTTGACTTTGGAACTCTATATGTCAAATCTCGAGGTTTAAATGATATTATTTGGGTTAAAATCTTAGTTTGGTCGGGAAAATCCACCCAAATTGTTTTTTAATAACCGTAATATAGGCTACCTTTTTCCTTCTCTTTCAAACTTCTCTGCTTATTTTTGAGTTTATGATATCTTTTGGGAGCTGTTTTAATATTTATCACTATAGCCAACTACACAGCATATTCTACACCCTTGACAAGAACTTTGTTATTATAATTGGTCAGAACCTAATCTCGACTCTTGCCAACTACTATGGCATCCTAAGACTCCCTCTTTCCTTTTAAGCAAATACTTCATTAATGTTAAATGTAGGGATCTAACTAACTGCGAGGGTGTTAAAAGCCTCGATACATCACTGTTGTATGTAGACCTAATCCTATTTTATCTTATTGAGCTTATGCTTATCTTTTAATGAATCTTACACTAATAGAATTATTTTACCAAATGAACGTTAAAAATGGTGAAATAAAAAGAAATTACATAAAATGAAATAAAAATGATTACATAAAAAAAACTTCAAGAAGATTCTAATAATGAATATAAATATATTCAAATCCCTGAACCTTATTTATAAAAAAAAGGGTTTGGATTGAAATCACGAGGGTTTGCCCTGATTTTTAGATAGTAATGAATAGGTTGTCAAGAATCTTATTTTTTGCCAAATAATACTTAATCCAATGGGTTCAAGGGTATTTAGTGTAGGAAAAATTTATGGATATTTAAGTAGATGATGCTTTCTGTTGAATCTTATAATGGGTTAATAATAAATCAAGTTTTGTATCAAATTAATAATAAATCTTCTGAAAAATCTTTTATTTATAGAAAAATAAAAATATTTATATATTAACATTATCCATTCAATTTATATTCAACATTGTATGATGAATTTAGCAAAAAATATAAAAATATAGGTTTAATAATATCTAAAAATAAAAAATATTTACATATTATGTTATGTTATTATATAACAAATCAGTGGCTAAATAGGTTGACTCTGGCTATGATTTATTTTCTCTATTAGGGCATGAGTTAATAAAATTTTGAGATTCAAAATCTATTTTCTTTATATTTAGTTAATATTAGAGATAAATATATGGATTTATAAACTAAATTAATATGTTATGAAGCAAGTTATAAAAACGAATTATCTATATGTTGCAGATGATATGTTAGCCCTAATTGGAATGATAACATTCTATAAATATCTGCCATTATCCCCAATTGCAATAAAAAGTATGGGGCCTACCAATTTAGGAGAAAATAGAAGACTTTTCAACAATATATTGGTAAAATATATAAACAAAGAAACCTACATATGAAATTTAAAAAATCTATAGATCAATGGGAATCAAAAAACTCTACAGTAGATATTAATCACAATTCTTTTCAAATCTCCATGCTCATGCTAAATATGCTAAACACAAACAAATATTTTTAACATCCATCATTCATGAATTTTAGTATAAATTTTCATATAAAATTATCAAATATTTGTAGCCCATATGTGAAATACATGCAGATAACAAAGAAAGTCATATTATGTTACAATAGTATCTAATTTCATACAATAATAACTTTCACTAAAATTTGATATAATTTCAATAATTTTTTAAATACCAGCTATCCAATCATAAACATTTTGTGAATCCCATCCTTGGAATAGAAATAATAATAAATTATCATTCTTCATTCAATAACAAGCAGCTTTTGACCAAAATATAATGAACTTATAAATATACTACATCTAAACTTCTCGATATTATAAAAATTAAAAATTTCATATGATTATATGAATGAATGTTTTATATTTAGGTAATGAAATTGAATATCATTATAGCTGATTATTTTCTTCTCGGATGGGAGTTATATTGTCTCGCTAGTGCGCCAGATGTTCTTATTAATTGAGAGTAAATGGTAGACATTGTCTTTCCAGTTCTATTTTAGAACTTATGTCTTACAAAATAGAACAATCAAAAGCTGGCTTTCCAATTCAGATTGAACGAGGGTTTTCTCTTCTTAATATCTTGTGCCCGTCCTATGGTCTCAGAGGCACTCACGTGTTAACGAGTTTCTTTCAGTATTGATAATGATCTCATCGATTTAACTGAGTATCTAAAGATTAATATATATTTAAACAGAACAATAATCACATCTCTCGTTTGGAATACAATTTATCATAAATTTAAATGCTTTTTTAAATTTTACATGCTAAAAACTAAAAATCGTGCAAAATGAGCATAATGAACAAATAAATAATTCTAAATATTTCGGGGTAAACCGCATATGTATTCGGAATCCATTTTATTACCAGTTAGATCTATTCAAAATACTCTTGTATTGTATTAGTAATATATTTTGATTTATCGCTTTTTGGATAATAGTTATTTTTAAAAATCCTTAATGCTAAACTAAACCCGTTTGGATAACCTTACTGAAAAGTATAATTTAAAATTTCTATAAAATTATCATTTTATACTTTCCAGAGGTTTTTCAAATTGAAATTGATGAAAAACTTTTATAATCTATTTCGATATTATATTTTTATTATTATAAGTGTCCTCTCTCTGTAAATTTTAAATTACAAATAAAAAAATAGTGGTATTTGATTATCTTTATTAAAAGGTTCGATTAAAAAAATGGCCTGATTGAGAATTTAGCCAAAATAATATTATATAAGCCTCAAGATTTGGCAAATAGATATTTAAATATTTTTGTCATCTATATGGAAAAATTCCAAGCTACATAAGTTTTTTGACTAAAATCATAATCGAGCCTTTTTAAAAAATGGGGAATTTTAACAATCCTATTCTACACTAGCTTTTAAACATAATATTGAATATAAAATATCTCATAAATTTAATAAATTAAATATATTCTAGATGATTTTTTAGGAGGATATTATTTAGTAAACCTCCAATTAAATTTTCTATACCAAATTTTAAAAAAGAAACAACCTCGGAAATAATATAAACCCATACATTTTTTATTACAAATTTGAGGGAAATTAAAGCTGAAAAATAAATCTTATTTAGCTCCTTTTAAGAAAAACCGTAACATGGAGCCTTGAGAAAATATTTGCATGGGGGCTTGGCCACTGTTACTCTATTATGTAATTAAAATAAGATCATGCATTAGGATGTTCAAATTGTACAAAAGATACATAAAATTAAATTTTTTAATATTATTTTTAGGTATAAATTTTTTATATTCGATGTTTAAATATTAAAAAATCCATTTTTATTCATTAGTCCATATTTTGTTAAAATGAATACTTTACCTATTTTTCGAAAATAAGATATTCGAATACTCAACTTTTTTTTATCTTTTTTGAATAACCAATTTAATAATTTCTTATATAAATTATTACTTATATTTGTCAAATTAGAGAATCTTTTTATAAATAAATATTTTTTTTGCCAGCATTCCTTCTATAGGCGATTTTAAGGCATCATTATTATTTTATATTAACAACCATTCAAGATCAACTTATTAGAATATTCGAAATTCACAGTATTAAATAAATGATTTCATAGTTTTTAAATCAATTTGTTCAGTTTATAATTCATATTTTCACAGTTTTATAATAATTGATTTCCCATTAAATATATATTTTCAGCCTATAATTCATGTTTTCAAAAATTATTTTTTTATTATATTTTACCGAATGTTGGGTTTTGTGTCCGTTAAATTATTTCTCCTCTTCTAATATAAACACCAGAGTTGTTAAAATCTAGATATCTGCTGTATCTAGATACCTTTTTTTAAAGTATCAGTATCCAGATACTATTTAAGAAGTATCTTTTTCTATTATTAGATATAATTTTATTTTACGTTTTTTTAATATTAAAAATAATAATATTTATATTAAATTGATTTAATAACATGTCTTAGATAGGGTTCAGTTTTCCCTGTGCGATGGATGTTGAATATGAAATAGATTATTAATTTTGGACGACTCAATAATTGTTAATAGTTATATATTTTTTTTCCTAGTTTTGCTAAGTACCAACCAATAGAATCTACTCATTTAACATAGATTAAAATCTGTTCTGCCTTACCTTATAATATTATTAAATATAGCTGTAGTTTATGGGTATGGGCTGTAAATCCTGGCCTATTCCCTTTCAATCAGCCCATAGACGTTTAAATATTAGTCCTTGGACTATTATGTGTACACTACGTGCGGCTTGATCACAAACGTGTAAAGGACTTCTCATATTTTTCATCGAAAATTTTTTTTATTAGATGGAAAAGAGAAATACCAAGCCTAGCTCTGTTGTACCAACGTTTAGAGGGTGAATGTGTTTTATCACGTATAATATGTCTTATATAAAAACAAACCATAATTTTACGCAATGGAGACATTCTTATTTAAATTTAAATAATATATGTCATTATTTTTACAGCAATTTTTCTAAATAATATTTGATTTTTTGGAAACCACTTAGATGATTATATCCTACCGTCAAGTACCCCGGTAGAAAGAGATCTGCAGTTTTTGATTACCTTTATATTTTTTTAAATAAATTATATGATGTTGTATTTGCAGCACTGGAATTTTATATATCAAGCAAGGAAAAAGATTCAGAAGATGCTGAGTATCTTTTGCAGGCTATTAATAAGCCATAATTTTTAAATAAATTCAATATATTTATTTCTTATTTAATTATACATATGATTTTAGCAAAATGCTACAAAAAATTGATTTGGATTTAATGGACATTATGATTAGAGCAAAGGATATTGTTGATTTATTAACAAATATCAGAGAGAATGTGGATATAAAATATTTTGAAGTATATGAGAAAGTAAACGAGATTGCCAATATGTTTGGGATTTAAATTTTTAAACCTAGAGTAGTTTCTAGACAATCCAATCGCTCAAATATTGCATCTACGATTGAGGATTATTATAAAATAAACATTTTTATTCATCTTATTGATATATTTTTATTTCATTTAAAGGAAAGATTTATTACTCATAATTTTATTTTAAAAAGCTTTTATATTCTTTTGCCGGTTGAGTCTAAACTGTTGATTACACTTGAAACACGAGAGGATATTAAGAATATCTCAGACGCTAATAATTTAGTAGGCTCATGCTCTGCAGGCCCTTTCCTTGTGTAATTGCACTTTAGATTCCCTGCCTAATATTAAAACATTAATTATTTTAGCTACCTTACTAATTAGTACCTGCACTAATCAAAGGTCTTTTTCAACTTTAAAAAGGTTAAAAACCTATCTAGATGAATTAGGAAAATCTCAAAGAAAAGTAGACCTATCTTTATAAATTCAAGTCAAAAAATTGCTATAAAATCAAATTTTTTCGAAAATGAATTTTTAGTTATAACATTTATATAATTTATGCAATTAATACTATTTTTTATCAAAGAACTGTGTATTATTTATAATTTGATAATATCGTCATATTTTTTTAAATACCATTATTTGCATAAATACTTATATTTTATGTAATTGTTAAATTACATTTTTTTTAAAAATAGTTTTTATAATATAAAATTTTTAATATTATAATCTGTATAAAATATCTACATTTTGAAATTTATTTTAAATAATAAAAATAAATACATGATTAAATAAAGGAATTTAATGGTAAAGCATTTTTATATAATAAATAAAATCTATAATGAAATACTCTCTAAAATTTTGTTATTTGCAAATATTTTAAATAATTTAAACATATTTTAAACCCCCCATCCCCATGATAAAATCCTGACTGCGCCATTGATTTTGACAATAGAATTAAATTACGCATTATGCACAACGCAAAATAAAAATTGCATTTGTATCTATTTTTAGACGATGTATCAATATCAAGATTCATTTGAAAAGTATCTTTTAAAAATTTATAACGCTGATAAACAATAACACTTATTGCATAGCTTTAAGCTACCCGCTAACGCGGTTCACTATTTTGGTATAAGGCAGGCGTATATGGAGAAAGGTGGGGGGGGGGGGATAGGAGATAAATCCCCCTCCCAAAAGCCAAAAATAAATTCAAAGTGGGAATTATCATTATATAGGTCGCTATTTTATATAATTTTTTCCATCCATTATATTTATTCTTGAAGAATGATAATGTTTGTATATCAATATATAAATCCAATAATCAAAAGGCACTGCTAAGTTAAAAATATTCAGCTTTATGAAAGCGCTTCAAAATTTTAATAATGGCTTCATTGTTAAATTCTTGATATCTCACATGAATTCTTTGTCCCTTGTAGAAAATAACATGGATGAATACTATTAATTTCTGGAAATTGTAAAACATCTTTATATATTTTTTTCATCATCCATTTATCGTTAGTCTTTTTTAAAAGGAATAAAATTTTACATTACTCGTTGGGAAAGTAGAATAAATGTCTTGCGTACATTTCAATTAGAAGAAATTTATAACGCACTCCTTGAAATAATAATATAAATATTGGTTCATATGGTAATAAAACTAAAAATGAGAAAAAAATTATTTCAAAAAAATAAAAAAAAGATCAACTAGCAACACAGGCCTTGGACCTACCGTTTACTATAACCAAATATAAAGAATTCTCGGTATGAGGCTATTTCTATCATATACCTAATTGAAAATTTTATGCAAAACCCTTCTCTTCTTTATCCTTTATCTTTTATCATGGGGAATATAGAAAATATTAAATTTGTTTTAAAATGATGTAGACATATAATTACTTATTATACTTGTATTTTATATTATAAAATACGATTTATTTATATTTGATATTAATTTGGGGAATTCGCAGACAAAAATAACAGCAACACACCCACATATTTTTTTGAATGAGACTAAGAAAGATTTTGCCTCAGGTCGAATTCATGATCTTGAAACACTCATTAAATCTATAACATATATAATGATTAAATTGTAAATTATCCTATCTTTATTTAATATATATTTTCAATAAAATAAAATATACTACATTGAATATACACATATATATATAGTATATAATACATATTATTATTATAAGATGTTGATTTGTACGAATATTATAATAGATAAATTAGGTATGATGATTTTTTTTTAATTAAATTTTTGTCTATAAACAGTCAAAGTCGATGCCGTCGTTACTGCTGACTTTCTTATCGTTTTCAATTTTCATGATGATCAGCGTTTTTTCCCGTTCCTCTAATTGAGCCTCCAGGTACAAAACTTCTTGTATTAACTGGGCTTTGGTCATGGAATTAAGTCGCTGATTTCGAGCGGTCTCATATTCTTCAGCAAATTCTTTTTCCAGGAAAAGTTCCTCTTCGTATTCCTCGGCTGACAGACCGCCCATACTAGCGGCGCTGTCATCTAAATGGGAAGGGTAATTATGGAGCCCGTAGCCACCGTTATGGGTAGTGGTGTCAAAAGAAGGAGTGAATATAACTCCATGCTCATCTGTGTAGTGATCTTGCATGAGAAACTCGTTGTCATTTTTTGGGGCATGGGCTATCTCCTTCCTCAGCAGGATAGTCTCATTTTCGATCAAAGGATCAAGATGGTGAATTGGAGTGGATTTACCTCCGACTCTTTGGGTATTTTTAACACTTTCACTAATTGTTTTTTTATCCATAATTTGAGTGCGAGAACGTTTGGCGCTATGTCTGCCGCGAGGTTGGTGGATATTTCTCGAAGTGTCTGTCCGTTTAGTTCCACGCCTAATGGTCAGACGATTTCTCAAGGAATATCTACTGTTTGAATTAGCAATGTTTTTGCGGCGTTTATCACCACCGGAATCATAACGTCGACCAGTTTTTAAGTTATTTTTTATGGGATAAGATCTACCGCGTAATTGATACCGTCTTTTATCAGAAGGCCCTTGGATATCATTTAATCCATCCCCTTGATTAGGAGGCATATGGGGCAAAATCAAAGAATCATTTTTTCCCTCTGAGAGGTAGTGACGTGAGGACTTAATTGAAGAACCCCTCTTAGAGACAAAATTTTTACCGATATTGCTGTACCAAGGTTGCCAGTGAAATCGGTCATAATGAGGCGGCTGATGATAAAATGGGACATGAGGGTTGTGTGGACGTGGCGGAAAATGTTGTTTACGAGGATTTTGATGGATTGCTTGTTGACGGTGAGGATTGAAATTATGAAAATGGGGAGGATTAAAGGGGTGATAAGGATGATATGGGAAATAATTAAGGGCTTTGTTAAGGAAGGGAGGTGCGTTCTTGTGAAAAAAAGGTGGGGGGACGGTATGTGGAAGGATAGGATAAATATTTCCAGTGGGAAAACGATTATTGGAATCAATAGGTTTAAAAGGGTGTCTGTTGCCACTAATTGGATCGTTTTCGGATGAACGTGGTAAACGATTTTGGTGAATGCGGCCTTGATCTGATAAACAATATCGGCTGGGTCTAAAATTGGAACTCCCGGATAAGAATCGTTTACGATTTCTATAATTATTTTCATTATTGCCATGGTGGCTCAAATTAAAATCGTTATTGGTAACTTCTGCATGAGAGTCAATTCTAGTCTTTATTATGGCGTCATTTTCAGATTTGTCAGAATTTTTATGAATATCTTTTTTCATTTCTGCATTCAATTTAACTGCTGTATTGTTGGCAGAGCCATGATCTACATTTTTGATTCTGTTTAGCTCTTCTTCAGTGTAATATATTTTTAGATCCATTGCTAAAGTGGAATTATTACAACTTTCCGAATCTACATCTTTAATTTGTGAAGTGATGTTTTCAGGTCCTTCCATTGGAAGAGAATTGGTATTAATTCGATCATTCGAATTACTGCAAGTCGCTGAATCCTCAATTTTACTTTTAATTTCTTTATTTAAGATGGAATTGCTTGAGTTGTGAGGATCGAAGGGAGGTCGATCATTAAAATTGTTTAAGTAGGGGGGTACTTTATAATTGTAAAATCGTTTGTTCACGAAAAAACGGTTTTGGTAAGGCCCATTTTTCAAACATGTGTAACAATTGCAATAGGTATAGAAACAACACTCACAATTAGAGTGTGGCTGCTGTTGATTGTAGTACTGATGATTGCTATAATTTCTAAGTTTATGATGAGATTTATTGAAAAACGAGTGTTTAGTATTACCAACCATCATAGTGGGGCTACTCAAATCACTAATAGTGCCAAGTTGGCTAGCATTAATCACGTTTGTACTAGGTAACATTTTGTTTTTCTTTTTGCGATTGCGTTTTCTCCTCTTTTTGATTGTTGTTTCCAAGGTTTCATTACTATTACTGGCAATGAGTTCAGGTTCAATTTCCCTTCCTTCTAAAGTAGTTTCTTCTGTTATGCAATTCTCTCCTATAAATGATGAAATTGTACTTTTAATTGGTAATACGGCATCCTTATCAATGTTGTCATGTGAAGAATCATCCATAGCCCCATCTCCAATTTGATTTTGGTTAGCACTCATAATATCTAGAAATTAAAAATTGTTTAATATTACTACCCATATATTTGTAAGTTAACAATAAAAATGTTTTAGTAATTCAATAAAATGGTTAATATTTTAGTATACATTACACTCAGTCTTTTATTAATATTTATACCAATATAAAAAAAATGATAAAATAGAAGTTGTTAATCCCCTTTGTTTCTCTTTAACCAAAGTCATCTTGTAATTATTACATATAGCAAGCATTAATGATCTACAAAGGCTTAAAAAAATTATGTTTATTAAAAAATATTTTTAGGGTTAGGCAAGATTTTTACACTTCATAAGCCAATGACAATATTACACCCCTAAAATATAACCCATCACCCCTTTTTAAATTTTACCTAACCTCCCAATGATAGCATCATTAAACTTTATATCCTTATCCCAATTTAAATGATGATCTTGCAACATACCATACCCATAGTATAGATTACTGGGTAGGGGAGTAGTGTTGTTAAAAAGTGGGTTTTTTACACTTCCAAACCTTAGTCATTCAACTTATACCAATGCCAATTTGGTTGTAGCTCAAAAATTTGATATTTGTTATTTTCCATGAAGAGTAAATAAGAGTAATAGATCCAACTTCTTACAATATCCAATATTTATAGAAATTCTTTCTGATATTAAAAACTTTTAGCTCATCTAAAACATGTTAGTAGAATGTGGAATATTTTCATGTCAAGCCATTCATTGAGTAAGGTTTTCACAGGTCAAAATTACTTTCTCATTTAAAAGCCAACCTAATTTTGGATGGGTAATTTAACTAGGTCTGTGTGGATGGAAATGCCCTGGTTATAAATGTGTATATCTGGAATTGGCACAAGATAGGCAGTAAAATTTTTAATGCACAACTATCGGGATATTAATAAAACTTTAAAATACGTGATACGTGATAAAACGTTTTTGCCCTCTGGTTGTGGGTACAACAAAACTACGCTAGGTTTTCCTCAAAATCCATCAAACTGGTAATTAGTGGAAGAAAAATGAGGAGCCCTTCACACATTTGTGGGCAAGCCGGAAGTACTTGTAGGCACAACATTTTGAAAAAAGTTGCTTAAACCTCTATAGGCTTAGTAAAAAGGGGTGGGGTAAAAAAAGAGCCTATACCCAAGAACTAGATTATAATTTAATTACTTTAAAAGTGGGTGATGGCTGATTTTAGGTTTAAATTCTTTAGTGTAAGTTTTGATGATTACTATCATTATTGAGATTTAATGTTTAAATAGAATCTGTAAATAAATATGATTAAAATCCTGAACAGTAAATATAGTGTTATTTTTTATTATTAATTATTCAACCCATACAATACAGTAATCATAGTCTATGTTCAATTTAATGTAACCATTTCAGCTTCAAAGGGAATTGAGTGGGATAAAAATATTTAATATAAAATTGGATGATCCTTTGCTCTTATAAATTGCAAAAGGATGTAGATATATACAATCAAGAGTGGAATGAAATGTTCAATAACCTAATTCCTTTGGTTCTTATATTTACAAGAATAAGGAATTCAATATATCTAATTGTGTGACCCTTCACTTAACTTTGGATCTGATATACTCAACAAATTAAAATAGATCAAATGAAATCATTCCAGTTTAGAAGGTATATGTGTAAGTAAACTTATAATTGCAAAAGGAAATGTAGAATATTATAATAAATCTAATTGTATGGTTATTTCATACTTACTGAGTGGAATAAAAATATTCAATATAAAATTGCATGTCTTTTAATCTTTATAAAGAATAAAGATAATATCTAATTGTGTAAATTTATAAATTACAAAATAATGTAGATATATATAATCAAGAGTGGAATGAAATGTTCAATAACCAAATTGTGTGGTCTTTTAGATCTATCTGATGTACACAACAAATTTAAAATAGATCAAATGTAACCATTACCGTTTAAAGGTATATGTGTAAAAAAAATGATATGTTTATCTACATTATAGTAAATAAATGCTACTTCCTTAAAAGGGATTTATAGATGCAATATCATTACAGTTCTAAAAATATGTCCATAATTAGGGTTCCACAGGTACCAAAACCTTTCTTTAGGTGTAACTAAGGGATTTACAAATGCGATCATTACAGTTCTATACATGTCCATAATTAGAGTTCTATACATGTCCATAATTAGGGTTCTACAAGTACCAAAACCTTTCTTTAGGTGTAACTATCTATGTACTGAGACTGACCATGATTCAAATGTGTATAAGATAAGAAAATTCATGTTATAATTATAAATGGTATAAGCTGGAAGTACATAATTAACAAAATATCTTATCTTGAGGATCTTCTGATAAGTTTAAAACTTCTTGAAAATAATTCCATAACTTTGAATATTCTTCATAGGACTTCAAATAGTGTTTACATGGCATACCCACCACCGATGTTATAGTTTGATGTTTTTAATCTCATGTGTTGAGAGGATAAATCAACTTTAAAATAAGTTATCAAACAAAAAATATTCTAAGGAGTCAGCATTGCCAAATAAAATCAACCCATTTTTTGCTTATCTTACCAAGAATAAGTTGTTGATTTGATCCTGGAAAATTTTTTTTAATCAGCTGATTCTAACACCATTTGTTTTATAACATGTTTAATTTTATATTGGTATTCCAAAATGCTCTTATTTAAAAGATTACCTCCCAATCTAGTGTCTAATCTGAGATACACACATTGATAACTGGGTCATTTTAATAATGGCAAAAATATCACTATAGCCCTAATTTAATACTAATTAAATCAGGCCTATGTTAGTATTAAAATTTTATTTGCAGTAAAAAAAAATTATAACTCTAGCCAAATTTGGAAATGTTTTTTAAAGAATTAGCTAGTATAGCACTATTTCAGTCTATTTGGTAGATCATTAGTAAAATTTTTCAATGGTATATAAAAATTAAAATCCATTTATATATTTTTTTTAAATATAATATCAGTAAAATAAGATTTAAATAATTATTATAATTTCTTAAATTGCATCAATATTTAATTTAAAAATTTTTTCTTTAAAAGAATATTAAAATATACTTATGTATGCATAATAAATTACCTTGTTAGTCTTTTTTTTGTATTTTTTCCAAATTACTATGTGAATTTAAAATTTGCAATATTCTGCAATTTAAAAAAAATATATTAAAAAATAATAAAAACTAAATTTGGATAGAAGTATTTTTTTATTAAGATGTTTAACCCTTTAAACAATTAAAATAAAGGTAATAAGTAAATTGTTCTACAAAAGTCTATTTCATAGATAATAACCAAATTTATTTTCAATTTAGAATAAAAGGAAATAATCCATGATATATATAACTGTTAAGGTTGGCAGGGAGTTAGACAAAGATTAAGAAAGTAATTTTAAAATTTTTATTTAATAAATTTATTTTAAAATTATTAAACTAAAAAAACAATATAATTTTTATCTTTAAATAGTTTATTATATCAATTTATATAAAAAAATCTATTAAATAATTTATATCAAACTATTGAGTTAATAATATAAAATGAGTCCGTGAGTTTAATATTAAAGAATAAAAAAAATCAATCTTTAAGGTTAATATTGAGTTAATAGATAGCGAAAAATATATATCAAAAAAATCAATCAGGACATCTCGACATTCTACTCTCCAAAGAAATTCGGCTTATGATTTCCTTGGATATGTTGAGTGGTATCGCCATTAACGTTCGTGATCGCCACGCAATACGCCACCCATGTTCATGGTGCAATCTTCTTTTCAAACCGAACGATGGCTTGGTAAAGTAAAGGCAGCCATTAGCTAACTTGGCAATCAAATCGTTAATTTTAGGTATGGGGTATTTGAAATCTTCAAGCCCTGTGTTAACTGTCTTTAAAGTAGGCGCACAGTCTAAGACTCCCATTGTTTTTAAAAACTGGTGTGAGTGGACCCATCCACCTGGCATTTTTTACCGGTTCGATGATCTGGTTTCCAGCCAGGTATTTAATTCTTTAGTTATAATATCTATAGGGTACCCTTCTCGGTGGTATAATTTTTGGCTTAGCTTTTGACTTTAGTCGTATAGTTTTCATGACAGGTTTATTATTTAATTTTGACTTGCAATTAGATATCAACTCCGCCAAATCGTCTTTATGATCCGTATCAATCATGCCTATGAATCTTTCAAGTATGTTTTTAAAATGTTTTAACCATGATCTTCCTAGTAAAGGCATCTTGTTACTGTTTACGATTAATGCATCTAAAATTTTAGAATTCCCTTCGTATTCTACATTCAGTCGCGTTGCGCCTATCACTTGTATCGTCTTGCCGTCTTAACCTGATAACTGTATACTGGACTTCGTAAGGTTTTTTATGCCTATTTTCTCAATCATATACTTTGGTAGAACTGTAAATCTCGTGCCCATATCTACTTGTAGTGAAGTTATGACGTTATTTATTTTCATGTTCACCATGTATGCATCATCTTTGATATTTAGAACTTCGTTTTCTAAATTATTTATATCAATAATATTTAATAAATTATAATCTTTTTTATCGTTTGATATGATTTTATCATCTTCGATCTCTTCTATATTAACTGTATTGATTTTTTTTAAATAAGGCGCTTGATGTCTAGGATTATGATTCATGTAATTTTTGTTGTCACGATCGTAAAATTGTTGATACACGTTGGATCTATTATAACCTCTAAAATTTTGAAACGGTTGTCTGGTGTTGTCAAATCTGTTGTGGTTTTCGAAATCATTAAAAGGCTTGTAATTATTATTATATCCATAATTGTTATTATTAAATCAATTATTATTGTTAACTATTGTGTCGTAATTGTTGAAAGAAATATAAGGAGTTTCCCATCTATTTTGATCATGAAATCTGTCATTATTTCGTCATGGAAAATGATAGTTATTTTGGTTGTTAAATTATTGGTTGCAATAATAAGGTCGAGTCTGCCATGGATGTCTAAACAGATGTTTGTAATCATTATCATAAAGTCTGTTGCTCTCAGTATATGGCATCATCTGGGTATTATCATATCTAGTATAAGTTGGTTTTTGTTCGTAAACTTTCTTATCTTGTCTTGCTCCCTCCAAATGTTTTAGATCAGAGTGTGTGTTGTCTTTGATAACAATCTTATGTATACATGTTTCAATGTCAGTTTCGTCTAACTCTTTGCCTATCTTTATAATGTCAACTAAAATGAGTAAATCTATTTAATTTCCTTAGATGAGCTTGATACCTTGATTTTTTATAAAACCCTGTCGTATCTGATAAAGTTTCAGTCCATATTGAGCTGACAAATACGGGTAACCCAATCTAAAAAACTTTCTCTTTTTGAACCGCTGCATTGAATTCGCTAATTTTTTTTGTTTCAAATCTTGGCAGGCTGTAATAATCTGTTTGTTGATGAGTGTCGACGATTTCTTGAGATCGGATTCAGTGCATATCGAATATAGTTTAGAAAATATGTCATCTGGTAAATTATGTAGTAAAGTCATCGTCATCTGTGCTGTTATTTTTTTTAAAAATAGGTTCAATTTTGGTTAAATATGTATCAATGTTTCCTATATATTTAGGAAATTCGCATTTATATTATATAGAAGCATTAGAAACAGTGGGTTTTTATCGTCCATAATTAATTGTAAAAAAAAATTTCTTCTTGTTTTATTTATTATTATTTTTTATATATAATATATTTATTTTATTCTTAGAAATGCGAAATAATTAATATGAAATTCATCTTTATATTTTAATAAAAATTTTTAAATTATAAAGAAATTTACAAAGATAGCCGCTGCCACCATGTTAAGGTTGGCAGGGAGTTAGACAAAGATTAAGAAAGTAATTTTAAAATTTTTATTTATTAAATTTATTTTAAAAATATTTAACTAAAAATACAATATAATTTTTCTCTTTATACAGTTTATAATATCAATTTATATAAAAAATTTATTAAATAATTTATACCAAACTATTGAGTTAATAATATAAAATGAGTCCGTGAGATTAATATTAAAGAATAATATTGAGTTAATAGATAGCGAAAAATAAATATTTAAAAAAATCAATCAGGACATCTCAACATAACATTAATTATGTAAAATTTTTTCCAATAATCAGGAATCGGGGGGGGGGGGGGGGGGGGGTGAGGTAGGAACATGATATCGGGTTGGACACCGCGAATGCTAACAGGTAGAAAAGTAATTAAGTTTTATATTATTTTGAGCGGGGGGGGGGGGGGGGGTAGGAAGAGTTTTCAATAAATTTTTCTTATAGTGGATAGGCCCTTTAAGGGGGATGGGAAAAATTTATTGGGGGTTATCTATTAAATTTTTAGATGAAATGGGACAAAATATATTGCTGTAAAATTAATCTTTTATTGTTGACCTAATATAACACTATGATATTGCTCGTCGTCCAAATCTATAAATTGCAAACAATCATATACATTATTTTCCTAATAAAACTTTTTGCTATCCTTTTAAATGTAATTAAAAAAGGTTAGGCATTCTCAGTAACTCATATTCATACCAAACAATATGCTAAGGCATTCATTGTAAATGAGAGGGTTTTTAATTGAATTATTGATCTAAAAAATAACTTATTATATTCACAATATCTTGAAAGTTGGTAGTAGAAATAAAATAATTTAAGTTATTCTTTTTAAAATTTATGAAAGGAGTACCTTTATAATTAAAAATGTGTAATAATGAAAACGGCGAAAATTATTTAGAGGATTTGGCATAGGTTTTTAAGGGGGGTTTGCATCCAATAAAAACCCTATCATATAGACGTTGATTATATCATACATACACAGAGTTGTACAAAAGATCTTCTTTGAAGATTTTTGAGCAAGATCGTTGAAGATCTTAAAATTTGAGCAAGATCTTTGAAGATCTTAAAATTTGAGCAAGATCTTTGAAGATCTTAAAATTTGAAAATCTTTTAATTTTAAAAAAATTTGAGCAACAATCTACAGAGATCGAGATCTTTGAAGATCGTAAAATTAAAAGATCTTTTATTTTTAAAAAATTCTGAGCAAAGATTTTCAAAGTTCTTCATATTTTATAATGTTATAGTAAATTATTATTTTTTTGATATTATTTTTTGAAGTAAATGGATTAGTAAGCATATTAAATTAAAATAAAAATTCAATTAAGATGTACCGACAATTATCATAATCCTTATTTTTTTTAAACTTTTTTTGACATATATGGGTAAAAATTTGTATTTAAAAAAAATTATATTAAAATTTCAATGAAGATGTAATAAAAAAGTGACAAATGTAATAATCGTTATTTTTTAACTTATTTGATTTATTGTGTCGTAAATAGGTTATAATTTTTATTATTAAGATGTAAAAATAAAATTTCAATGAAGATGTACCATAAAAAAGTGACAATTGTCATAATCGTTATTTTTGAACTTTTTTGAATTTTTTTAGAGCATAGATATTGTTAATATGTTAAATTAAAATTTCAGTGAATATGTATCACAGGAAAGTGACAGTTGTCATAATCGTTATTATTGAACCTTATTGATTTTTTTTTAAAGCAAATGGGTAAAATAGATATTGTTAACATGTTAAATTAAAATTTCAGTAAAGATGTACCACAGAAAAGTGACAATTGTCATAATCGTTATTTTTGAACTTTTTTATTTTTTTTTATATATAACATAGAAAGCTGACAATTGTCATACTCATATGTAATATTTTTTAACCCTTCACTACAAAGGTGGAGTAAATAGGACCCCACAACTTTTATAATCTTTGTAATACAAAAGCTAGAAGATATTCCGACCTGATTTTTTCAGTAGTTTAATATTTTGTAACAAGGAATACAACTTCCAAATTTCATGATTATTGATTTGATAGTTTTTGAGATATATGCTATTTGTTGAGCTTGGGGTAAAATATACCCCACCTATGTAATGATGTAATTTTTTTTTTAAATCCAATTTTTTTTTTGTTACTAATTATATTTATGTATGTCAGGTTAATAAATATAATTGAAAAAAATATAATTATATCTATTTTTTGATTGATATATATGACTTTAAATTTGAAAATTTTATATTATTTATTTTTTCGGTGGAGTAAAAAATCATAAATTTAACATATGATTTTTAATTTGAATTATTCTAGTGACATTTTATACTTTGAAAATAGAATTATATGCTGGCAATCA